TCACGATCTCAACACGCTCTTCCTTGAAAACTTTCACACAGGTTACGCAAACTACCTGTCTGAGCAACATTTGAAGCAAGAAAGCAATATTACCGATTCAGCGATTCCGCAAGATGGTAATGTTCGGTTACCACTTAAAACTAAGATAATACTACATTCCTTACCAGAAATCAACAACACTGTATAATAATTGACAGAATATGGTCTCGCATGAATCGACCTGTGGCTCATTGGTTCAGGGAGGTGATTTTCAACCAATGAGTCACGGGTTAAAGCTCCGGACTACTTACGAAGGTTTAGGCAGCCAGCAGTATCATTAGCCTTCACACAATAAACGTAGCTAAATGCCCACTGCACGAATATGCTCAAGGTTGGTGAACGCACTTCGGTTTTTTCTCAAATTATGGTTGTTACCTTGACATGGTGGTCAAGTTTGCATATCACAATGATTCGAGTTATGCTAGTGAAACCGCTTGTTACCTCAAAGTCATACCATACCAAGAAAGTTCATTGAATAGCGGTAAGACAAAAAGCAGTCAAATTATTGCGTAAATTGATAATCTATGATAGGGAGTCCGAAGGTGAAGTCATACCGCTGATCAGATGGGATGTGACAACAGTAAGGTGTTTCCCCTGGCTGGCCAGCAGAACCATGCTACCTTCCCCGTGTAAAGCGAGGCTCAGAAAACGTTCACCCTAAAAATAATACATGGCATTCCTTTGCCGGTTGTATGGTTTTTTCTGTGCATCGTTTGAAAAACCGAAGTACAAACCAACAATCCTAAAGGGCTGTGTGACAGGCATAAAACAGACTTTCTATGGGCTTTAGGGCTACAAAAATCTCCTCCTCTTCCAGGTATCCTGAAGAAGCAACTTCCGTGGTATGTACAGTGGTCTGCAAGATTCAATCAAGCATAACCTACCCTCCTTATCTATCTCCTCCTTTGTCTTCAACCTCTTGATATTAATATTAAACTCCTTACAACTTCCGCAACCTCTCACTCTGTGTCCGTTACCAACGATTCAAGTCATCGAAACATCATTTCCAGTCCTCTAAAACCTGGCTGTCAATTTCATATTGGAGCTTTCAACGTCCGAACCCTATCCTAAGTGAAACAAAAGGCATCAATTACTAGAACTCATTAATCTCAAGCCATGGATATATGCTGTGTCTCTGAGACACGCACACAGGACCCGAGCGTAGTTATTAACTTGATTCCACCTGACTAATGCAGTGAATCTTCAAAATTCACTTTATGAGTATCCGGAAACTCAGTGGATAGTCCTTTTAGATTCTCTGGTATAGGCATAGCATTGAGTTGTAGCCCAAAAAGAGTACTTCTCGACTGGATACCAGTAAACAGTCATCTGTGTTGTTCGACTGGATGGATCTGTAAAGAGTAGGAAGGATCGTGAAACCGACGGATGTCTATTCGTAATCTCCGCCTGCGGACTCACTGACTGTAGCTGGGATGGTGTAAAGAATGAATTCCATGAGAAGCTATCAATTTTGCTACATTGATCAGAACGTTCAGATGTAGTCATAAAAGCAGGTGACTTCAAAGTTCAGGTAGGAAATCTGAGCCAATCAGAAAGGCATCTAGGAGGTATTTACGGAATCCCATGCCAGAAAATCGACAACGGTGATAGTCTGTTGCCATTTAGCTCCCACAACCACTTGATTTGGGCTAGCACTAACTTCAAGCATAAGGATAGTCTGTCTCACATGGCGTTCACCGACACCAAACCAACGATAGATCAACGTGCCGTAATTCACCGCTGGAGAGGGTACGTGGCGGATTGGCGCTTTCCAGAGTACCTGTTTGGACTCCGATCACGCATTCGTATGAGCTCGTGTATATCTGCATCTCACTGATTACACAAAACAAACGGTAGCGAAGCTTTTGTGTGCTCGATCGGAAGATGAGAATGTGAGATAGTTATTTAGAGATAGGTAAACATTTATCCTAACGTGTCAGCAATCGTCATCCTGAGGAAACCTGGTGTGGTATTCAGCTTGCTGTGGAAACATCGGTGAAGATAGTTGGTAACCTATATCCAGAGGTTAACAAACGTCACTGGATTTCCGCAACGCCATCAGATTTGGGTGACTACAGAAAACTTATTCCAGATAGTTCTGACCAAAATGAAGAGCGGAAGTAACAAAGACGTAAATTGACAAAGTCTTCAAAATGATCGCGAGGAGCGCTGTGATCAAAGAGAGAAAGATGGTGGATGCATCAGCATTGGGTAACACTCGGAAACTATTTAGACTTATTAAGGATACCGTCAAGAAGACAATGGTGAATGAAAACATCACCGAAAAGGATGAGACGCTGACAACCTCCCAAAACAGGTGAGCTATAGAGTTGGGCAGAATACTTTGAATCACAGTTCGCCAGGCTTGCAGGCACACTTCATTTGCCCAACATACAGCCTGAACCCGTATGAGATGTAGATGTTAGTCTTCAACCGTTTTTGAAGTTAAGAAAACTGTTTCAAACCCGAAACGACGCAAAGCAGCAAGACCTGACAATCTGCACTATGATCTTTTAAGGATGGAGGTCGGAAATTTCTGTATAGAGTAATGGAGGTACTGGTTAGTGTATGGAAACCAGAGATAGTCTCATCAAACTGGTTTACATCCCTAATCATTCCAATCTCTAAGAAGGAGATAAGTATTCTTGTGACAGCCTGAAGAGAATCAATTTGACTAGTATCATGGTCCAAGATACTGGGGTCTATTATTATCTGACACCTAAAGGTAGCTCAGGCACAACAAACTCGAGAGAGCTAGATAGATTTCATACCTGAACGAGAGTGTATCGATCAGATTTCCACCCTTCGACGGGTTCTAAAACAGGGACATTTATTGGTGGACAACACTTGCCATATTTCTTGACCTGAAGGCTACATTCAACTATGAGGTTTCGTGACAGTGTCTGACTGTGGAGGGATTACCGAGCAAACATATAATGCTAATAAAAGCCCTCTACTCGCACGCACGCAGCCGTGTTGGAAGATGAAAACTATCTGGTTGGAATCCCCGAGACAAAAGAAATCAGTGCTTGAGAATTCTTGGTAACATGGTTGAAAATCGGTCACAGTTTCACAGATGTATTCAATCCCTAACATCTTCAATACCTTAAATATTCCCACCAACTTTCACCTTCAGATTATTTATTCTCTCACACAACTTTGTCTACTTTGATATTACCCTTTTTCTCTCCACCTGTTCTTCGTACATTACTGTGAAGTGTGTCGACTTGAACCGATGCACTTGTATATGAGGTACCACGTTGATTTCGTCTGTCAATAAACCGAGTTTAAGACAATGAACACTCTTCTACAACACAGATTTTTAAGATTACTGAAAAAATAAATATCACAAGGAATATATCTGCATTTTGCACAATCATATCATAGCTTTAACCTTCACTAGATTTTCTAACACAATCATCCTTTGAAAGTCAGTAATCATTATAACTAAACACTAAAATATTCTCAAGTTCTCTTTACAGTAGTGAATCTCAGCATTTGGTGCAATAGACAAATATCCCAGGGACTTTTATCACAGTCTTTGAAAACCACGCACACCGTATAATCATTAAGTGATAACTGAAATAATCTTCCGATATTGGTTTCAATTACTTGAGTAAGTTTTATGTAGACTGCAGCAGATGATTTATACCTAGAACTACTAGTTGACACTAAGAATAACTGAAATAAGCAAATAGATGATTAGACAATGATACATTGTTGCAGAGTGTAAGGCAAATGTGCGTGACTTGCGCCTTTCGGTCCATCAAAAAGGATCGTCAAGCTAACACGTCTCAATGCCTAATTCATAAACAAAGTCGACGGTGTAAAAGTAAAACTTGGGCACTGAGTTAGAGTATAATTATACATAAAGTGATACAATATATATATCGGTGTGTTAAGGTAAGAAGATGGCCTATTTTTCGAAGGTCGATGATAAAAAGTGTAGCAATTTTGAAATTGGTTGTTCGTTGAATTATTCTGTCATCAGAGGCGTACACAGAAACTTCTTAATCAACTGACTAGAGCTCTATAATTACAAGTACTAATAGATAACAACTGATACCTGCTGTACAAGATGTGCTTCTTGTGACTCAGTAGCCTGCCAGAAAATGCTCTGAAGTTTGAAGCATGAATGTTAGATTCGAGTCTCAGTGGGAACACCATCACTAATTGGGATGAAAGAACACCCAGCTGAGTCACAATCAGGATAAAACGCACGTCCAGGATTCTACTGTTAACCAACACCAAGTGACTTAAAACCCGATTACTCTATCCATTAACAGGAATAGGGTTTGATTATATACACAGAAATAGTCAGACAGCTAGTAGTATCACACAGCACTACAAATAACCTGAAACCTAAGCATATAACGATGCTCCATATTTATATTATTTAATACCCTTACGGATAGAAAATCCAAATCACAGGAGCAGCTGATATCGGTTTTCCAGGTGATGTCTTTATCAAACTAATTCACAACAGAAATTAACTAGAAATCAACTTAAAACTACGCCAATCTAGAAGTAAAAACACAAAATGTTTTGTCATAGACTGTTCAAAATTCATAATAAAGAATGGATGAAACTCATTGTTAAAACACTGTTCAGTAAACAGCTGATACTTTGTATCAGTAATTGTAAAGTGTACACTCATTAAACTAATAAGAACAATGACGATTAAAAAAAATTTAAAACGAACAGCAATAATCTGCGGTGAAAAATGATTTGACTTTCAGCTATCGTGACTACTCAGCAAATAAATAAGTAGTTCAAATGGAAAATAAAAATACGTTTAGAAAAATATGCAAGAAAATATAATTATTCTTCTTAGCTTGTTAGACTACAAGAAATAGCAAAAAAAATGTGAACAAAAACAGGTGTATGTATATACACACACAAACTGGTAACAGAACGAAATTACATTCAAAGCTAAGAGTATATTGCAGCAGAGAATAAGTCTAAAACAAAGACGAAACCTAAAAAGCAGATAAAAAGACCAATATGCAAAAGCGAAATCAGACAAATGCGGATAGTATCAGATCTTTCTTCACACAAACGAATTATCAAGAAAAGCAAACTACTGGGAGATTACTCACTGTAGAGTTGTCGTAGAATAACTCTGAGGTTGTGATATCATTCAAGTGAATAACATTACGATTTAGGATAAATGAACGACCCAAACATGAAATCACAAGTTGAGCAATAGGCACAACAGATGCGGACTGATGAAGGTTGAGTTGCGAAGACTCAAGTTCCCGAATAAAATCTTTACATAGTTGATGATGAACCTTTAATTAGGAAATAAGATTAACCCTTCATAAATATGAAGCAAAAATAGACAACTATATACTAAGTGGCTCTTCGATAAAGAAAACACGAAAAATTTACCAATTTTAGAATGAAGTATTAAGGAACCCAATTGAATATACTGAGTTGTTTTCGCACACTAAAATAAATGTGTTGTCACAATTAACCAGTATGAGTTAAATATATCTGACAGTAATAATAGTATTTTAACTTATACACCATTTTGAATAAATTCAAGCGAAATATACGGTGTTAATGATGGATAGTACCTAGCAATGGAATCCAAGACGTTCGTTTCGTCCTATTAGGGACTCATCACCTGAATGTACCTGCCTCCCGGTGAGTGTTGTTCCCAGTGGTTTATGGATAGCGCTCCGACGTTTGAAACGGTTGCTCCTGAGTTCGAGTCCCGGTGGGAACAATCACCGGAAGGCAGGTACATCCATCTGACGAGTCCAAATTAGGACGAAACGCGCGTCCTGGGTCCCGCTGCTAGCCACTGTCCATTACTAACATAATTAAAAACACAGGTAATATTGAGGCATCCGCGCAGGAGATCATATGCTAATAGAGACCGATCAATTCGGCAACAACGCTGAAATATACGGTGGTTCTAGTTATAAATTATTCCACTTCAAAATCTTATCTTCAGCATTAAAGCAACATCCTTCAGTATTTTTCTAAAAGACATAAAAAGAAAGTAATTGCGTCTGAATAAGAATTCAACTCATAAATCATTTGCACCAGACTATAGGACAAACCTATCGTATGACGGCCAATGAACTTTGATCCGAAGTAAACTGCTCGGATCATTGAGACACAGCTGTATGAGAATCGGTTACAAATTGTTCAAATAACTCTACATAATTAGTTAAATCAATTTAGGAGAGTGAATTTAAGTAACATGTGCGTATAGCCATCAATAATACAATATCAAGGTATGATCTATTAGTATGTAGCCGATCACGACCATTGCCTATCAAGACTACAAAACTCCTACTGGAAAATCCAATAACAAAGTAACCTCTCCCTTTAAGGCAAAAGATAATGAAAAACTGTTACCTAGACATAACAAACAAGCCTACATATCACGCCCCAAACCCTGTTTATGTGACTGTAATGAGATTAAGTTAAGCAACAGTCAGCGAAAAAAGAAACAATACGAAGATGGATAGTGAACCTTCTAGAAAGAACCTTATCTTCAATAAAATACAACTTACTTGGAAAAGGACTAAACTACAACACGGAAAGTGAGAGCATGTTACAATTCTATACAGCCTTTATATCTTCACTCAAAACTATAGAACAACAGCTGACAAACAACAAGAACTACGTTACTTAGTCATACCATTAGTGAAAATAAAGAAACACCAACTCAACAAAGATTAAGAAAACGCACTGAATTCACTCATATCAGACAAGAAAATTGTGATACTACCAGTAGACAAAGGAAAGAAAACCATCATCACAAACAAAGCGGATAGCATGATAAAATTTCAAGAAGCAATCATTGACAAGAGTAATTATCAATTAGTAGAGAAGAATACCATCAAATAACCGGATAACCAAATTCAAATGAAATTAAACAATCTAGTTAAAGCTGGTCAAATCACGAAACAATAATGGTGAGTGAAGAAGAATGGCCCAATTCTATTCAGATTCTATGGTCGAACAAAAGTACATAAGGTAGATTTTCTACAGCGATCAATAGTGTCATTACCAACAACACCATCATTTAACTTATCCAAAGAATTAGACGATTAACTAAAACACCATATCGATAGAAGGTAACCCAATCCACCAACTCAGTTTCAGAAAGATATAAAAAGACCTCAAGATAAACAGCGACTAAAAAATGGTATCATTCGATGTATATGCACTTTTCACACTAATCAACCCAAACTTCTAGAAAGAAACAATGAGTACGAGAAAATTACTACTATAAACTTTGCAGAATTAAACAATCTGTGTCTCATAATAAACTTTCAGTTCAAGAGGAAGATCTACAAGCAAATCAAAGGGACCACCATAGGCTCACCAATATCCGAACAAATCGTAGAAGGAGTGATACAGAGATTAGAATCAATGGTTATTCCAATGAATTAACCAAAAAATTGAACGCGTCACGTCGACAACACCTTCGCTATTATCAAAACAAGTGGAATGGAAAACACGTTCAATCTCATCAACCGAACCTCTTAAAGTATTCAATTCAAAAAGGAAGAAAATGAAATCGCGTTCCGAGATGTTTTTATCAGAAGAACACATGATGTAACCTTACAAACTCAGATATACAGGGAGGTGAAACACAGATCAAACTTTGAAAAACAACGGCAACGACCCATCATCTCATAAGAACAACTGTCTACAAACGCTATTCAAATGTGCCGAGACTAATTGCAGCATTCAACAACTGCAGAGGTCAGAAAGAAACCACCTTCACAAAGTTTTTAGGTCCAGTGACTATCCAGTCAACTTCACCAAGAAATGCCTAGTAAAAGAACATATATCAAGACAATTATCTTAAACTATAAGACGAATCACTTTACCATATATCAACGGCATCTCAGAACTTGTCAACCTAATACTTCACCCATTCAGTATCAGTGTGACACAAAACAAACCCAGTCCATGCTGAACATCTTTCGTACGCTAAAGAACCCACTACCCAAAGAAGACAAGACGAATATAATCTACAAAACTAGTTGCAAAGAGTGTGAAGATCACTATACTGGCCAATCCAGTAAAACGACATTATTATCCCCATTGATATCATTACACGCAGATGAGCTCAACCACAACTTCGATTAGAATAACGTGAAAATAGTACAGCATGTAAGCTCAAAAACTCGAAGAGAGTTACTAGAAGCAGCATACTCTAATCAATCAATTGGCAATCAACAGACACGTGGGCATTGACACAAGATACGGGCTACTAAGGAGGGATAAGTCAAACTGAAATGAATCAAGCACGTCAATGGTCAGATATTAGATTAACAGTATAGGTCAAATGACAAAAATGATAAAAGTCAACCTCTGAGGAAAACGAAGCACAAGTAACTCCTACTCATATGCCAATAACTCTAAAAGTCGGCAAATATTCTTTATAGACATTCATACAACTTGAAGATGCTTCACTTCTTTATAAAGTAAATGCTGGTGAAGTCGCCTAGTCTGATAATGAGGCGACCAAAAACAAACCTCAAAGCTCGGAGAACACCAAACAATTACTACGCTCCTTCTGAGCTACAAATCTTCTCGACTATCTCAAAGGACATTGAGCTGAGAAACCCAGAACACTTAATCGTTATCAGACTTTATCCACGAATACAGCAGTCATATAATGTTGTAGAACACATAGTATGTAAATAGTTGGGTGTGGTGTAGTATAGTAATAAGACAATAAGGCAATTAATGAGGTTGTTAGCCTTCACAACTGAAATGGCTTGGACATGTACTGCATATATCGAGTTGCTACCTACCTCGACATTCCATGCTGGAGAAGGTTGGACTAGGCTGGAAGACGATGCAAGGTAACCAGACCAAGACGTGGCACCAGTCAATGAAATCTCTGACCACTAGTATGAGTCATATGGGGAGATATAGACTACTTGGTTGGAGTCCCCGAGACAAAAGAAATCAGTGCTTGAGAATTCTTGGTAACATGGTTGAAAATCGGTCACAGTTTCACAGATGTATTCAATCCCTAACATCTTCAATACCTTAAATATTCCCACCAACTTTCACCTTCAGATTATTTATTCTCTCACACAACTTTGTCTACTTTGATATTACTCTTTTTCTCTCCACCTGTTCTTCGTACATTACTGTGAAGTGCGTCGACTTGAACCGATGCATTTGTATGTGAGGTACCACATTGATTCTGTCTGTCTGTCTATCTATCTATCTGTCTATGTGATATGTAGTAATACTACAATTCATTGTGACAGTTTTTGATTTATAACACGAAATTAACCTAAACAAAAACGTGCCTCATCTTTTATTTGTTCCTTAATTCAGTAAACACTACATAATAAAAATGTATACTGGTTAAAACTAGTTACAATATACATAAAACAAACATTTCTCCTTTTCACACCTTTTTATTCAGCTTTCAAAGATGATATTAACATATAAGAAAAATGACTTTGTCCTACAGTTAGTTAGAGAGAAAAGACCTTTCGTATATTTATAGCTAAAAACACATTTAAGATGACCTTTTCTCCTTTCTCACTTACATTATGCCATAACGATTCTGGTAATAGACTGTCACGATTTAACATAGTCATTACAAAATTGTAGTGCTTTCTTTGTTGTATACCTTTTAATAATACGGGCATTAATTGATCGCCAACTAATGATACGTCAAAACCAATATTTTCAGCAACATTTGCAATAGTAGTAGTAGTAGTAGTATTTTTCAATGAGTTCATTTCTAAATCTTTCTTATCATCATTATTACCCAGTAACCGTTTTAACTTGTTTTGATTTGAAATATAATTTGTGATAAGTAGATAATAGGCCAAATTTTTAAAATCATTCGAAGACATGATTACTGAAAATTAAAGAGTAAAACAATCAAAGATGATACTAACATTACACACTAAAAGAATAAAATCTACTAACATACAGGTGAAAGAAAAATGATGAAAACCCAGACATCAATAGACGAATCAGAATCAAATTACAGAGTGACTCACCATCCCATTGGCCAGTGTAATCATAACCAATCCTACAAATAGTGTAATTGCAAAACTATACCCGTCGCACAAGAAGTGGCTATCGTGGCTCGGTGGTGTAGTGGATGACGCTCTAGTGTTTGAAGCCATCGCTCCCGAGTCCGAATTCCGCTGGGAACAACATTATTCACTAGTAGGCAGGTAAATCCAGTTGACAAGTACCAAATAGGACGAAATGCGCATCTAGATTCCACTGCTAGCCACTATCCATCTTAACCATCACGGATAAAATGCCGAAGCTGCTCTAAAGATAGCGCCTAGATTAAGGTTGAGGACTATGTGTGTGAAAACCCAAAATTGGAAAGTAATCAGCGTACTAGAATATCAACAACCCAAGTTGCGAAAATTCACCCAAACATTAAATGATAGAACGTAAAAACAAAGCATTGACTTAGTCGCGTACAATAAATTGCTTTAATAATATCCGAAAACAATTTGCTTCATGGAGGCTAGCAGTGGAATCCAGGACGCGTGTTTTGTTCAGTGCCTGTACCCCCAGTGAATGATGTACCCACTGAGACTTGAACCCAGTACCCACCGTTTCATACGACAAAACGTTATCTACAGAGGTCCAGGTACATCTAACTGACGAAATGTGCGTCCTGGACCCCACAACTAGCCTCCACTAATAAGCAAATTATAACAACCAATACACGCAGGCAATATCGAGGCATCCCCACGGGAACGCATATACCAAGAAAGGTCAATCAATTCGATCCAGAATAACAAGGGAAAATTACAAGTATCAATAAATAATATCTGAAAATGTTTGGGGTGAATATTCTTATCCCACATGTTAACAATGATTGATGGAAAAAATAGTTACATCCATCCACTGATCTAAACGATGTGGTACTGTCAGGTGATGCGTGCTACGTTACTGAAAGTTAGTCTTCGAAAAACCCAACACCTATCTTTCATTCCATATATATTCTTTTCATAAAAGTAACTAAGTGTAATAACCAGAATTAGTTTCCAGGTGAAACAAGAAGTTTATCCAGATAAAAATAAGACTTACAAAGAGCCCTGTAAAAAAGAAATTTCAGTTAGTTTGTGGATATGTTTGAAATTTCTAAGCCAAAACAGTAATTTTCTTCCAAATTACGATATTGATTTTCATGTAAAACAGTCTATAAAACAAGATACAAATTGAAGGCATAAATGTCAATTTATGAGGAGTAATTTTTTCATTTGAAAATAACATACATGAAGAAACTGGGATAAAATATGGATCAATCATGCGAAAATGGATGGTTAGTGTGAATACATACTCAGTTATACACTCAGTTCAACGCTAAGTTTAACAGCAAAGTTCTACATTCATTGTTTGATGTTCGCACGTAACTGACCGAAAACTTGATACCCAAGTTTCATACTTATCAAAATTTATCAAAGAAAGAGACATTCGAAGACTGAACTAATGCACCTTCATATAGATCTGAAGCAACTCGATTACAACGATCACAAAGTGGCCTACTTGTGCATTCAAACTAGACACCAACTATAAGAAAATTCACCTTTATTATAATACAAATAACTGAGGATCTCATTTAGACATAATGAAGACAGGTGCTAGCTGAGATACTTATGGTATGTGTTGCATGATTCTAGTCACTACATACCTTTGATTAATATACTGATAGTGATAAGATTACATCGAATACATCTCTGCAGTATTTAGATAGAGAAACCACACATTTTGTGTTAGTAACTTCTGTTATCTGGGTTCTCTTGATGGAAAAAGATTAAAAAATGGATATCGTAGTTGATAAGGATGAAAACTGATAGTGCTTATGTGTTTCAATACGAATCAAGAACTTTCTATTCCTTTTTTGTTCCTTTTATTATTTCTTAATTTATTTGGAACACAAACTTTGGACAAACATAAGCATCAAGAAATGTTCCATACAAAATAATAATGCAACATTTAGAAGACAGAAAAAATGGGTCGAAAAATCGAAACAAAAAAGAAGTGGGTTATTAAAGGGGCAGTTTCAAAGGTATATACAAAAAAACACTCACTACCTTATTTTTTCTTTTCAATAATAGAAGAGATAAAAAGTTGCAGCATGACAGTGACTACTTTCAATTCAGAACCCTGCTTGGTATTATTTCCAGCCACTGAGTTGCTTGATCTTTCGAACCCCGTCCGAAAAGTCGTGAGATACCTAAAGATGCTAACTTAACACAAGTATCCTTCATCCCACATTGTACCACGTCATACACTACCCACTCCACTGCTTCTTCTAACCAGTTCCAGGGCAAGGGAACAATGGGAGGTGTGGGAGCCGCTGAGGTGACATACGTGACATGTGCATGCCACCAGAGCTGGTGTTTCAACACGACTACACCCATTTAACGATGATGATCTCCATTATACCAAAAACAAGTTGCCTTACCTCAGAATTACTTACGTGGTATTTCTAGTGTTATGGTAATCCTAGATAGACATTGATGAACAAATAGTTACGACCATCGGGTGTCCTTAACTCGGAGATGTTATGTTTCAAAATCACAAAGTCGAATGGCGTATACTAACGTGCTGTATCCTCAACCTTTTTCAGCAACGCTAACATCAAGACGGTGCCAAAGGTGACCCAAATTGGCATATGCCTCTTTGACTGCCAGTCTGTGGTTAGAAACCTCATCAGCCACACCTTCATCAGTGCTCGGATAACCACTCAGGTAGGTGCACTTTTCGGGAACTCACAATGATCCACCACCAAAAGTGAATGAAAATACAGATTTTAGCCAATCTATTTTGAAGCACTTTGCACTTTGATGGCACGATGTACCATACTTGCAAGCACTAATCGCTAACTGGCTGAATATGATTTGAGTAGCTTGTCTGTCATCGCACAGTAAAACGATATGGTATATATGCATACATTCGGTTTCTATAGCGTATCACTTAGTCTCTGCTTCATTTTTATTTTCTCGCTTCCATTAAGCTTCTCCTACATTACAATTTTATAAACTGTAGTAGACCAAACTAGTACATTATTGTGACAGATTCTACGTTGTTGAAGTTAAGTCAGTAAACCTCACAGACAAATTTTACTTTTGCTAAAAGCAGAATAACATTGAAGGTACTTTAATGCCAACTCAACTACGAACCAGAAAAAGTGGCTGAAGTATTGACCAAATATGTGGTAATTGTTCACATATACTTGATAATTACAAATCTCTAACACAACGATGGGTTACCTTATTAGTGTAATATGTGTGAAAATGCAGTTGTGCAAACAGTTGCACTGATCGTACAGATGTATTTCTATACTGGATTAACTAGTAGAACCAATTTCTGTTTGGTAAACATTGCAATGTCAAGGCTGATATCACTAACAGTGAAGATTTAAAGAATTATGAAGTAACTTGGTTTCAGATGAATAACGTACACAGAAAATTGAGCCACATCTACTGGTGCGAGGGCCAATGATACTACCTGTCTGCCCAGACGTCGGTAGGTTGAAGGTTCAGTGATTAGACCAATCAGCCACAACTCCATTTTTAACTCGCAGGTATACCTTAATTCATGACAGCAAAATGCAGCTTTGCGGGGGAAAAAGGGCATAACTTTGATATAAATTTACATTGTGACAGATTTCTTATTCAGAGCAATGAACACATGAAAGTAGAAGCTCCCATTTAAGTAACTAGGGTTATTTGAGACAGTTCAAACCAACGTAGAAAGGAAACAAACGAATAGGGAAGATATAAATAACTGAAGACAGAGACGGAATAAAACTGCATCCCCCTTAGGGTCTTCGGTTATTGATCCCCAGAATATTTTAGGCCTCAGCAAGACAACCAATATGGATCAGATTAATAGTCAGTGACTTTACACACTAGTATCATATCTTGATCTAGCAACCATTAGCTCCCTTCAAACTTATTCATACTTTGAAGTAGGTGGGGACTAGGTAGGCTTAAAACATATTTCTAACATATCAGTTCATGTAAATCAACAATTTCAGACAGACAAATAAACCAATATGTAGCGTTGCCCAACTTCACTGATGTAATTATTTTCCTTAACTAGGACTTTGTGCCTACCATAATATTGATTTTTCACTGATTACACTAAATGCTGGCATGGTTTACTGGTTTTTGAGTAGCTTATCATTTGTCTTGCGGGCACCAAAAATACCAGGAAATGGTAAATTTTCAATAAATCTTTGATACCCATAAAGATATTTTATGTTAAACTGGCCGACTGATGTTGATACATCTTAGCAATATATGAAGCTAATTAGTTTATTCAGTATTCTTACGCTAGATGTTGGAGTACTATTATTTTAGGTTTGGCAGGTATAAAGCATATGCCAAACATCCTAAGAATTCCCATCAGTATTCCAGAGAACCTTGTATTCCATAAGTATCTTCGTTTAACAGAACTGTGTCGTTCACGTACTCTGAGTTGATCACTTTCTCAAAGCAGGTGAACAGAAAGTCATCTGCATCGTTATATTCACAATGAAGTTAAGCGGGATCAATAATAGTAGATATTCTTGAGGCACACCATCAATTATTGTCAACTCAAGCGATAAATAGCTATATCTCTTCTACAATTGAATGACTCTGAGCACAGCTATTAACAGCATGGTGCACAAGCTTGAAATGCTTTTGAAGGCAGATAATTTCAAAAGACTTTACGGTTGACTGGTGCCGTGGCTTATAGGTTTAGGCAGTCGACTTTCAACCAGTGGGTCATTGGTTAGAAACCCGCTCCACCTATCGAGATTTGAGCAGCTAGGGAGTACCATTAGCTCTCGCATAACAGGTATAGCTCATTGCTTACTGCATGAACACCCAATTGGTTGCTGAGTGCATTTCAATTTTCTGATTTCGAGATCAACAACCTTTTCAGGTCAATGAATATGGTTTCCGGAGGGTTAGAGGTTTGCATTTCATATTCCAATGAAGGATAAGGACTCGATTATGACACTTATCTACACCAGAGAACCACTTAGTTTCCCGTAATCAGTTGCTTCTGAGCTCTGTTTACGGGTTGAACTATTATAAATCTCAAAAGTTTTAAATGTTATCAAAATTTTTCCCGACATCAAAGAACTAGAACGTATTCCATCTCAAAAATTAAAATCCAAAGTCTGAGAAAGGATAGTAAATACTCACCAGTGAAGACGTTCTACAAACTGCAGAACAGAATTCAAATGAATCAGTAGATAACAATAGATATCGTCTACCGTTAGCCTTGGTATTCTTAATAACTTGATTCCACAGACGTTTCTAAAATAATATGCGCAAGAAAAAAAAGGCATCAGTTTCATCCAGTGGAAGAAAAGTTAATATTGATTTTGTTAAGGGAGAATGTGAATGTTTGCAGAAACACAGAAACAAAATCAATTCCGTATTTATGAGTATGACAGCAATTTGTACATGCATTCAACCAGTGGTAATGTTTCTTAAATTAGCGAAACGTTTGTGTACATTGGTAGATGTTTAAGTGGTTGGGCTTTATGGTTGGGGACACTAAGAAATGGTTCTAAATCGATCAGAGTGACGCAAATGCAACCACGTCTACTCTTTTTCTAAGGCCTAAATAATTTATAGTTACATATCTCCTACTTCTTTCAGCACCCTTTTTACCTAGCTATGTTGATTACGGGTGATACCATCATTTTCATTTTGTCATTGTCTGTTTAGTGCGATTATATCAGTTTTGGTAAAAGAAACTGAACGGTGATAATGCCATGTTTTATGCTGTTGATGAATGTTTTTGACATCCCATCAGTAATATAAGTCTTAGACTTAGTACATGCAAAGGTTCATATCTCACAATACAACAAAACATTCGTTAAATGACAGTAAACATAACTAATCCAAACGATTTCTTACATTATTCGGATTTAAGCAACACGATACACAGTGCTCATAGACAGAACAACAATGATTAGCTTTGCATGAATGACAAACAAAGCGCTGTTTGAAGTTCCCAGACGGACAACAACTACTTGTCAACAGGTCAGTATAGTTGCAGAGATATCCTATTTCATCGACACAGAATGTATGACTCTGTCTAATGTGGCGACAAGTAGAATTCGGCAATGGAGATTTGATATCTAAAAAAGGTAACGGATACATGGGATAAGTTTATTATCGCAAGAAACATGAATAATATAATTTCAGTGTACTCATGCCTTGCCTTAATAGAACAGACAGTTCGATAAATAAAAGAAAAAACTGACATTGCTATGCAAAGTTTATAAATAACCACCTAAAACTGGATAGAAACGTCTCTCAGATTATAATTACAAAATTTTGACACCTCGGGATGATTTGGAGACGGATTTGTAACGTATCATTTTCGTTAGTATATCTCTTAGAATTCGATCAAAATTAAGGACTAAATATTGATAAATTGTTTCGTATAAGAAGGTCCTAATGTGAAGTCATTTCACTAGATGTTGAAATCTCTCGACCAACTGACCGATGTAACAACCCCACCCAATCGTTGAGAAGTAAATTCAGAGGAATGAATTCGTAAACCCCATATTCTTGCCTTCATCACATCAGCGAAAGTTATTATTATTATTATTAGTCCCTTGGGTTCCTAGTGGAACATAGGGCTTCAGTAGCACGCCTCCAGTGACCTCTGTTCTCTGAGATCTTTTGAACCTGGTTCCACGACAGCCCAGAAGCTCTCATTTCCTCCTCGCACGACCTCCTCCATGTCACCCTCGGACGTCCAACTCGTCGCTTCCCATGGGGATTCCACTCGAGGGCCTGACGCGTGATGTCCTCCGTCGGCCTTCTCAGTGCATGCCCAATCCATCTCCACTTCTTCCTGCATATTTGTTGCGTGATAGGTTCTTGGTTGGTTCGTTCCCAGAGTTCCTTGTTGCTTATTTTTTCTGGCCATCTGATCTTCAGCAGCGAGCGTAAGCAGTTGTTGATGAATGTCTGTAGTTTATTGGAAATACCTTTCGTGACGCGCCAAGTCTCTGAGCCATACAAGAGCACTGACTTGACGTTGGTGTTGAAAATCCGTATCTTGTTCAGCATGCTGAGTGCAGAAGATCTCCACACTGGTTTCAGGCTAATGAACGCCTGTCTTGCTTTTCCGATTCTGACTTTGACGTCCTCGTCCGTCCCGCCTGTAGTTGAAACAGTGCTTCCTAGATAAGTGAAGGAGGTTACTTCCTTCAAGTTTCTCCCGTTGACGGTGATTGGAGTTTGTTGTTGATGGTGGTGGTGCGGTATCTTCATCACTTCTGTCTTCTCTATATTCACCTGAAGTCCCGTCTTCGCTGCCTCTTCTGTCAACTTGTTAGTTTTTGCCTGCAGATCTTCAAGTTTATGTGACATTAGGCACAAGTCATCGGCGAAATCCAAGTCTTCTAGGTTCTTTTCCGTCGTCCAGTGTATCCCCCTCTTCTCGCTGCCTACTGTTTGCTGCATGATCCAGTCCACCACAATAAGGAATATCATGGGGGATAGTAGGCAACCTTGTTTCACTCCTGTCTTCACTTCAAAGGCATCACTGAGCTTCCCATTGTGGATTACTTGGCATGTGGCATCTTCATATAGTTGTTGAATGAGGCGGATAAAGGTTTGCGGTACTCCGTAGTATTGAAGCAGTTTCCAAATTACTTCTCGGTCGACGCTGTCAAAGGCCTTCTCAAAGTCGATGAAGTTGAGGTATAGAGCTGATTGCCATTCTACGCTCTGTTCTATGATGATACGAAGCGTTGCAATTTGGTCAGCACATGATTTGTACTTCCTGAAGCCTGCCTGTTCCGGTCGCAGTTTTGAATCCAGTGCGTCTTTAAGCCTCTCCAGGATGATGCGGCTTAATATTTTACTTGGGGTGGACAGGAGAGTGATTCCGCGCCAGTTCTTGCAAGCACTGAGGTCTCCCTTCTTCGGCAGTTTGACAAGGTAACCCTTCTTCCAATCGTCAGGTACCTTCTCTTCCTTCCACACCTTCTGCAATAGTGGTGTGAGCATGTCCGCTGTTGTCTCTGCATCTGTTCTCAGTGCTTCTGGCGGTATTCCATCTGGTCCTGCTGCTTTCCCGCATTTCAGTAGCTTTATGGCGTTCAGGACTTCCATTTTCGTTGGGGGATTTATGTTCACTTGTAATTCAGCGGCTGCAGGTGGTATTTCTGGACGAAGTGCAGGTGGTGGTCGATTCAAGAGCTTCTTGAAGTGGTCGGCCCATCGTTTCCTCTGTTTCTCTTCTTTTGTAATTAAATTTCCTTCTTCATCTTTTATTGGTTTCATCTGTGTTGGTCTCTTCCCTGATAGCAACCTGGTTATTTGATACAATGTCGTCAGGTCTCTCTTACCTGCAGCCTGTTCTGCTTCACTTGCCAGTGTGTCGTAGAAGTGTCTTTTGTCTTTGCGTGCACTCTTCTTCACTTCTTTATCCAGTGTTTTATACATTGTGCTCAGTTCCTCTTGTCGTTGAGCATCCTTGCACTGGTTTATCTTCTGCTTCACCATCCTCCTCTCCTCTATCAGCTTCCAGGTATCCGTCGAGATCCATTCCTTGTCTTCTTTCTTCTTCCTTCCTAATACTGTTGTGCAGGTTTCTTTCCACATAGCTTTCAAAGACTTCCAGTGTTCTTCCACACAGGTTTCTTCAGGGATGTCCCTCGACGTCTCCCATTTTGTCTTGATGGCTGCTTTGAAGATCTCCTTTGTAGTTTCATCCTTCAGTTTCCGAGTGTTGTACTTGAATTGAGGTCTATCACCAGCTTCCTTGAAGGCTTTTAACTTGATTTCGAAGGTTCCTTGCACTAGATAGTGGTCTGAACCTACATCTGCTCCTCTTCTTGACCTTGTGTTAAGTAGACTGCGTCTCCATTTTCTTGAGATTGAGATAAAGTCGATTTGATTTTTAGTGTGTCCATCTGGTGAAGTCCATGTCGCTTTGTGGATATCCTTGTGCCTGAACACACTGCCTCCAATCACCAAATCGTTGAATGCACAGAATTCTGCAAACAATTCTCCATTCTCATTCATTTCACCTAGCGCCTCTCGACCCATGGTTAGTTCTCTTCCCGTATTGTCCCCTCCCAGTTTGGCATTCATGTCGCCCATTAGAATTTTGATATCGCCAACTGACGTCTTGTCCAGTGTTGATTGAAGTTGTCTGTAGAAATCCTCCTTTTTCTCTTGCTCTGCATTATTTGTAGGTGCATAACATTGTATGATTGTGACCTTTCTTCCTTTTGAGTTGAATCTTGCTGTCATGATCCTGGAGGAGATTGGTTCCCACTGCATGAGAGCCTTCGATGCTCTTGAGGACATCATGATAGCCACTCCCTCAGTGTGCTCGTGGTTGGCGTCTGGGTGACCGGAGTAGATTATTGATTCTCCAGTTGACAGTTTGGAGAGTCCACTCCCATTCCATCTGCTTTCGCAAATCCCAAGCACTTCGATGTTATACCTTCTCATCTCCTTTGCAATCTGGGCTGCCTTACTGGGTTCAAACATCGTGCGGACATTCCATGTCCCCACGTTTACTTTCGCTTTCATCGAGAGAAGACACATCGGCCAATTGGCTTCCCGAAGGCTTTCACCAACTGGCGTCATTTCGCCTCTCCGATTCCAGCGGGGAATAAGTTTGTTTTCATTTTTTATATTTTGTTTGTGCTTTGAAGTTTCTTTAGCGGTTAGATTTGTTTTACGGGGTAGGGTTGCTAGCCCTATGCCCAACCTTCCCTCTTTACCCGGGCTTAGGACCGGCTAGTAACTAGTAAACTAGTTAACCAGGCGAGGTTCAGCGAAAGTTAGATTCCATCAAACAGAAGTTTATCATAGACATACAACGTTTCAGTTTGCTATCGCCCTTCCTTGTTTCAGCTTACCTACCGCTTTCTCGACTTCTGCTAGTGTTGGCGGGCCTATCTCAATGTTCCATTCAAGATCCAACTGGATAGCGGGCAACGTAATGATGGCTGGAGGTCAGTTAAACTGCTCCTTGAAGTGTTCTGCCCATCTTCCCAGTCGTCTCCCCTGCAAGTGAATCGCAGATCTGTCCTTCTGCGTTAAAGCCTCACTAACCGTTGTTGAATTTTTCCTCCCAGTTTCCTTAATAAGTGTAAATAACTGTCTACTGTTATCAATCGCCACTGCCTTTTCCATCTCTTTAGTCTTCGCTGCCCACCACTGTTCGCGGTCGTTGAGTAGACTTTTTCTCAGTCTACTTTTAAGTTGTGCCCGCTCATCATCGTATACGGGGTGTGCAGGGATGCGTTGACGTGCATTCATTAGTTCGGAAGAAGCTGCTGATATCCACTGGCTCTTTCTAGCCACTCTTTTGGAGTCGACTACGGTTTTCAGAGCTGCTTTTACAGCAGATTGGAGATGGCACCAAGCTTCTTTTCGATGAGTGATAATCTTTTGTTCCGATAACTATCTAGCCAACTTCTCACTGAACATGACTTTGATGTTTTCATTGTCCGGCAGCACTCGTAATGGTTTCGTTGCCAAATTTTTCTTACGTCCATTGAGACGCAGACATATACGCGCTCGGACCAAAGCGTGGTCGCTATCCAAACACGCACTACAGAAGGAGCGGCAGTCTCCCACCGATACTCTCCAGCGATGACTAATAGCAATATAGTCTATCTGTGTCCATCGCCAGGTTGAGCTCGGTGGACGCCACGTCAGACAGTGTCTTTCTTTATATCTGAAATGTGTGCTAACTAAAAATAAGCCGTTATCTGTACGTTCAGCCACGACTCCGAAAGTGCCACCTAAGTGCCTTTCTGCCTCACTCAGTCTACCCGCCTGTGCATTGAAATCAACTGCAGCAACAACCACGTCCGAACGTTTGGCTTTCGAGAGGAGGTTAGACAGTTTACGGTAGAACTCATCCTTCACTTCATCCGAGCTGCAGTCAGTGGGTGCGTAAGCAGAGGTTACAAAGAGACAACGGCGAGTCTCACCATTCCTTTGAGTTATCACTGTACCATTCAGCCGGATAGCGCAGAGGCGACTATCAACTGGGTACCAGTCTAGTAGTGAGTTTTCTGCCCTGGTGCTTAGTGCTATGCCTACACCTACAAGACCATGAGGGCTAGCTGACAAATCTTTAGAAACTCGAAGGGTGAACCTTGCGGATTCACCAGATTAGTCGGGAGAGGTCAGGTGAATAACCACACTTGGGTCCTGTATGCGTGTCTCACAAACACAGCATACATCCATGGCCCGAGTTGCAAGTCTTTTTCAACGAAGCCTGTTGACCAACTTGACGGAGGGTGCGGACATTGAAGGCTCCAATATGTAATTTGGAGAGTGGTTTAAGGACACCAAGGATGTTGTTTTGTGGACTCAGATAGTTGTCAAAGGCTGCAGAGCTAGAAGAAATTGAAGATGATGTAGTATCGTTAATTGAGAGACGTGAAGGAAGATTAGAAGGTTATTATAAGGGGGGGGTGGATAACAGTCTGAGGAAACCTGAGTGCTGATACAGTTGTGAGGGCAGTTGACACATCCCGGCTTCCCACACAGTGGAAGAGTATTGCTTCTTGAGGTACCTGTAGGAGATTTGTGTGACCGCACAGCCCATCAAACATCTGTTTGAGGCCTTTCACATGCAGCCTTTTGTGGATGATTATTTGGAACTTTTGTTTTGGGGCCGGATGGTCGAGAAATGACAAATGAACCGACACCGCCAGCCCGGCAAACCATGGGGTGTGGTGAATTGTGTTATTTTTGGGGCCGACCTTTTCTAATCCCCCTCCCACTGAAAAGGCAGCATCAGCATGTCACCGCTGATCATCCAAGGGAAATACCTAACTGCTGTCACATCCTATTCAGCTAACAGCAGTACGATTTCGCTCTCAGGCCCCCATCATAGTGTAGAAATTTACACCACAACGTAAGTACTTTTCATCTAACCACTATCCAACGGATCTTTCTGGTATGGTAGGACCTTGAGGGAACAAGTGTTCCATTAGCATAGCTCGTTGGGTCATTGTGATATACAAGCCCGACCACCACGTCAAGGTAGCAGCTATTGGTCGGGAAGTACAATCTCTCTGTTAAGACCAAAATCGTGACTAAATTTCATGACACTATAGTCGATATTTAAACACCGTAAAGCTAGGTCAACCGACGCTATGAAGCTGTCCGCAAAGAAGCTAAATTAGGGGAACGTGTTCGGTGATTCTCAATTATACCATGATACTAAGGACCAGTGAATCTACTTTCTGAACACAGAAAATTTAGAGTTGAAATTCACTATTCGGGTTATACTTGTATCATTATTTGCAAGCAAGTATGCTTCAGATAGCAGATAGCTTTGACAACCAGCTCACAAGTAACATGAGCTTCATAATGTACATAAAGTTCCGCTAATAGTATTCCTTTAATATAAACTACAAGTTTGCAAGGAATTCGTTACTCATTCCTGTTACTTACGGTGTACTATAGACACAACACAAAAACACTCAAAAAACTATATTAGCAGGAAGCGAGACGCGTTGGTACTCAGTGGAACATGCTAGATAAAAGACAGCTTCTAAAAGACTGAAGCTCTTACCGAAATGTAGCGATTCAGATGTGAACAAGACACGTTTTATAACCGTTGCGTTTTCTTTATAGTTCTAAAAGATACGTATTATTAAAATTTACTCACAAACATTAAAAACTAGGATTGAACACAAGATCCATATGATTACAAGTAGGATAATTAAAAGATGAGAGCGATACCAGATCATAGACTTATGATAACTTTGGAAAGTCCATTGGGGTCAAGTTACCCTATAGAATGGAGAAGTATTCAGAACACCAAGAGTAAACATGCAAAAAAAATACCTTAGAATTAGCTAATTTTGTCAAAAGTCCTGGGAAAATAGGAACAAATTAGACTTAAGCAAAAACACATATGGAATCCAACTGATGAGCACAAAACCGTTAGTACATTAGTACCTGCAAACAGCAAGCTTAGTTCACAATCTGTATAACTAGGGGACATGTATTTGCCGAATCTCGCGCGATATCCATAAGAATTAACGAAGAACAAATCCGTTTCACTGATTTTAATCATAACTGTATGGATCACTTCTTATAAGAACCAATGGTTGGAGACTTGGCAGCATACCTGAAGATCCGTCACAATGGTGTAGATAAATTCAGTCGTTGACATTTTCGAAATTTTGGGTGTTTTCACCCTTCTCATTCCACATACTTTTAACTACATTAATGACACTTTGCCTACCCAACTGCATTTCGCATACTAGTGCGTAGTGTGGTAACTTGGACCAACACAACTTTGTGCCATATCTAACGTTGACTTGACTGTCTGGCTATATGGTCCATGTTGACACTCAGTAACTTCATGAACTATTTTTATACTTTGCTTTAGCCTTTACTGTTATATGCCAGGGCGTAATTTTAGATATTATATCCTGAAAGTGGCTTAAAATAGACTAGCATACCATCTACTAAAATCCAAATTTATCTTTTTATTTGTCAGACGCATGGTTGACACAGGGAGATGATTAAAATCGGTCTAAGTACTTATCTTTCAACTAGTGGGTCGCAGGCTTGAACTCTAGCTAGGTAGTATCACTAGCTTGCACTCAGTAGGTGTGGTTCCCCACCTGGTGCATAAACCTGCAAGCGGTTGTTTAGGCATATGATTGAGTTGTTTCTATACCTTTTCAGATGCATGTTTGTAATCATTTCACATTGGCAAATGATTTGCACACATATGGACAGTAATAATTTGAAGATGCTTGTCTAACATGCAGACACTGTTTAGCGACTACCTCCGAGATTTAGATCTCCCAGTTTCACTTGATAAACAAGAATGGTGATGGAAATGTTGCAGAGAGATATATAGGAAACATTTTTAGCAATAAAAATTTTATTTTACGGTATTGTTTATTAAATTTCAGCTCTAAAAATTCAGTAGTAAGGTGGTGCTACATATCTCACCTTACACAGTCAAGAAATGTACAACATACATCCTGGACGGCTTAAATCAATGCATACTTTTAACCTCATCTGGTTTCACAACCAGATATATTCAGTCGCACAAAATGTTTTAGCGTCATATAGATGAAGAAAGTAAAACCTCTGTCCCGTCTAGCAGAATTTTTGTTTTTGCACTCCACAATGCTATCAAGCCAAAAAGCTTCGTTGATTAGGAATTCCTGACCCAGTAGCCTATTTTATGTGTGGTCAATAAGAGGATTATTGTCACAAGCAAAATGTTGCAAACAAGCAATACCTTTCGTATTCTCTACTGTAAATGGATGTATTATCCATTTCAACCAAAACCATGACGTCTAAAATGACGAACTTTTCGGTAATCTGTTGCCACCCAACGTTTAAATTTGTGAAAATCTTCTTAAGTTATTCTCGGTATAGCTTTCAGTGAAGTTTACAGTTTACAGCTTAAACAGGCATGTGGAAACAATGCGAGATATAGCGTAAATTATGCAGGTATTGGTGTAATAACCGGATCGATACATGAAAAATCCCTAAACCGCGGAGATAATGCAGTAGTGCATGCCTCGCGTAAATAGTTCGTGCAATGTGGAAATAATAAGGAAACTGTCTGTAAGTAAAGCTGCGTTTACGCACGCAGACGTAAATTATCTCGTGCATTATGCAAAAATTCGTCTATATTGCGCAGTTAAGCATTATTTCCGCATTTCTGTTTGACAGGGGCTCTTGAACTATGTTGTCTATAATACGCATTGTTGTGCTAAACACTGAACATAGTACGTGATGTAACATCATAAAAACGGTATTTAACAAATTATATCCCTTATTATTAAAAGATATGATTTCTTGCAAAAGTTTGTTAAGTATTTCCTAATTTATTATTATTCAGGACCGAGAAGGTGCTAGAGCGTCTTATCCGTAACTTTTCAAGAGCAGCGAAGTTGTACACAAGCCAAATAACTAATTACATGGCAGCGAAGCATATATGTGCGGACCTGACGGATACCGGTGATGTGTTTCCTCAAAAGCCTTTCAACCAAACAACAACAACAACACTGATTACCTGGGTACCGTGAAGTTCAAAACTGTTGACCTGGTTAAACACAGAGTTACTAACGGTCCTTTAGAGGACTAAAATGTAGAAATAGATCAAATTTACTGAATAAATAGACATTAGTCTTGTCCAAGAATTAGGTTATTGAAAAGTAATGAATTAAAATCCAAACGAAATGATCATTCCGTTCATGTAGAACTGATGAAACAGAAGAGTAACAGTTCACTTAGCATATAGGACCCCAGTAGCTAAGATATTCTTCACCCTAACTCCAAGGTAGAAAACTCACCAGCTCATAAATTTGTGTTCGTTTTGTGTTGCCAGACCATTTGTACTCATGTACTAGAGTAATTTTCTTGTCCATAGTGAATGAGTATTTCTAATAAGCTTGTTCATTTGAGGCCTACTTCAAATAGGTGGTTTTTACTTGTGTAAACGCGAAACAGATATGTATCCGGTTTACTCGTAGTGTATTTTGTTCAGTCTAGGGAGAGAATTCGAGGCAGAAACCAAGGATTTACTGAGGAAAATTATACCGTGCCTCCAGGAAATCAGCAATAAAAATGTTGCAAATAGTCCACGTTAACGTATAGGTTTCTTCCAGAGTTTATCTGTTTCTGCATAGTTGCTCCAGTATTCAGCGTATTTCACCAAGATTGTGCGAGCTTCTAGAGGAACCATTCGTGATTCACTGCCCAAATCCGTAGATTTCTCCGCCTTAGGCCCACTAACCCTTACTTTCCTGTAAATTATTACTTCCGTCTTAAACGAAGATTCTTGAGCCTATTTCGTGAGTTCTGAAAGACCCCGGGATTCGCCACACAGTCTAAGCAGCCCCTAAGATGTGATAGCCTACGCAAACGGAGGTGTATAAGTACCCTATAAAGACTGCGATGTTATACTAAGCAGTCAGTAACTGCTATAAATATCCAGGTCAAAGTTGTTACGATTCTCCCGAAAGCTGAGCACCCTTTTAGGCTTCATCATTATGTCACACTGCAGTCAGGGAACTTCATCTTTCCTACCGTTTGCAGATGCGATCTCCAAGGTCCTGTGGGTGGCCTTGAGTAAGTGCGTCTGATTCACACTGGTTTTGTCCCTATCATTTCACTATCCACTTTGAAAAGTAATTTGGCGGGTTTTTTAAATCATGTAAGACGTTCTTGTAGTATGCCCATTTCGTTAAGCTCACAGTAGCGTATACGACGATGAAATCGGTACTGATATTCTCCCAAGCCTAAACCCTGTGTTAACTCCCACTGCGTCACTATGCGGGATTTTTCTTGATCTCCCTAAAGTGCATTTAAGCTAAACTAAATCCTAACTGCTGAGTGATTTTTAATTTCCTCTTTGTGGACGATGCAAGTAACGTAAAGCTGCAAGGGCTGAGGGAGACGTATAGAGATCATCTGTGAAATGTACTCGGATTTCTGCCACAACCAAAAATCAATGAACAGAGACTTGCGGATCAAGGTCATGTTGTCACTATATAATTCGTCCCTTGGGTTCCCAGTGGAACATAGGGCTTCGGTAGCACGTCTTTATTCCATTCTGTCCCTTACAATCTTTTCAACCTGGCTCCACGACTGCCCACAAGCTCTCATTTCTTCCTCGCACGATCTCCTCCACGTCACCCTCACCTCGGATGCCCAACTCGCCATTTCCACTCTGAATTCCACTCAAGTGCCTGTTGCATGATGTCCCCGAATGATCTTCTCAGTGCATGCATAATCTATCTCCACTTCCCTCTGGATATTTGTTGAGTGATAGGCTCTTGTTTGGTTCGCTGCCAGAGTCCCTTGCTGCTTATTCTTTCTGGCATTCTGAGCTTCGGTAACGAGCCAGAGTAGGCAGTTGTTGACGAGGGTCTGTAGTTTGTTGGAAATGCTTTTCGCAAAGCACCAAGTCACTGAATCATACAGAAGCACTGACTTGATGTTGGTGCTGCAAAACCGGGTCTCATTCTTCATGCTGAGTGCAGATCTCCACACTGGTTTCAGGTTAACGAAAGCCTGTCTCTCCTTCCCGATCCTGGTTTCGACGTCCTCGTCTGTGCCACCTGTAGCTGAAACGACGCTGCATAGATAGGTGAAAGAGGCCACCTCCTTTAAGTTTCTCCCACTGATCGTGGTTCCAGCTTCTTGTTGGTGGTGGTGGCGTTAGTTTGGTATCATCCCCACCTCTGTCTTCCCTACGTTCACTTGAAGTCCCGTCTTCGCTGCCTCGCCTCCTCTGTCAACCGGTTAATTTCCGCCTGTAGATCTTCGAGCTTGTGCGACACTAGACACAAGTCATCGGCGAAATCCAAATCTTCCAGGATCTTTTCCCCGGTCCAGCGTGTGCCCTCTTGTTGCTCCTGACCGTTTGCTTCATGATCCAGTCAGGTCAACCACAATCAGGAAGATGAGCGGTGATCATAGCCAGCCCTGTCTTACCCCCGTCTCCAACTCAAAGGTGTCAATGAGCTTGCCACTGTGGATCACTCGGCATGTAGCATCGTCATATAGTTGTTGAAATGGGTTGATAAAGGTTTGTGACACTCCGTAGTGTTGAAGCACCTGCCAAATTACTTCTCGGTTGACGCTATCGAATGCCTTTTCAAAGTCGATGAAGTTGAGGTAGAGTTGCTCTATGATCTATTATGATGCGTAGAGTAGCGTTGCAATTTGATGCGTACATGATTTGTTCTTCCTGAATCCAGCTTGTTTCGGTCGTAATTTTGAGTCCAGAGCACATTTTAGTCTTTCCAGGACGATGTGGCTTAACACTTTGGTTGGGGTGACAGGGACAGGAGCATGATTCCATGTCAGTTCCTGCAAAGGCTTAGGTCTCCCTTGTCTGGAAGTTTCGCAAGGTAGCCCTTCTTCCAATCAATTAGCAGGCACCTTTCACTCCTTCCTTACAAACCTTCTGCAGAAGTGGTGTGAGCATGTCTGCTGATGTCTCTGCGTCTGTGTTCAGTGGTTCTGGAGGAATTCCATCTGGTCCTCCTGCTTTCCCGCATTTCAGCAGTTTTATGGCATTCAGGATTTGTACTTTCGTCGGAGGGCCTGTGTTTACTGGTAGTTCTGCCGTTGCTGGTGGTATTTCCGGACGGGTTGCAGGTGGTGGTCGATTCAAGAGTCTTTTGAAGTGGTCAGCCCACTGTTTCCTTTGCTGCTCCTCTTTGCTAACTAGCTTTCCTTCACTATCTTTCATTGGTTTGATCTGTGTTGATCTCTCCCCTCCCAGATAGTAACCTGGTTATTTGATACAATGTTGTCAGGCCTCTCCTACCAGCAGCCTGTTCTGTTCACTTGTCGTAGAAGTGTCTTTTGTCTTTCCGTGCATTCTTCTTCACTTCTTTGTCCAGTGTAGTGTTTTATAGGTTGTATTCAGTTCCTCCTTTTGTTTTTCATCCCTGCACTGCACTGGTTCATCTGCTTCACCATCCTCTTCTCCTCTACCAGCCTCCATGTGTCCGTCGAGATCCATTCCCTGTCCTGTCTTCTTTCTTCTTCCTTCCCAATGGGGCTATGCAGGTTTCTTTCCCCATAGCTTTCAAAGAGTTCCAGTATTCATCCACACAGGTTTCTTTAGGGGTGTTGTTCGACATCGCCCACTTTGTCTTGATTGCTGACTGACGTGAAGATATCTCTTGTAGTTTCGTCCCTCAGTTTCTGTTCCGGGTGTTGAACTTCGACTGTGGTCTACCACCAACCCTCTCGAATGCTTTTAACTTGGTTTTGAAGGTAGGTTCCTTGCACTAGACAGTGAGTGGTCTCAACCTACATCTGCTTCCCTCCCTCATCCGATTCTATGTCAAGTAGGCTGCATCTCCACTTTCTTCAGATTGAGATGAAGTCGATCTGATTTTTAGTGTGTCCGATATCTGGTGAAATCCATTTCGCTTTGTGGATATGCTTGTGCTTGAACACACGGTGCCTCCAATCACCAAATGGTAGAATGCGCAGAATTCTGCGGACAGTTCTCCGTTATTGTTCATTCCACCGGGTACTTCTGGACCTGTGGTCATGTTAAGCAATGATATTTCCGGGCCCACGATGTCTGATGCGAGCCATGCCTCCGTTTTGAAAATTATAACGTCACGCTGATTACATCACACTGTTCTTGTCTGCAGTAGTTGACCTCCAAGGCTTCTTACATTACTGTAGAGGAATACGAAGAAGCTACCCCGGGTTTGGTGCTACACGGGAACCTGTGCGGAGGGTAGGGAAATGTTGCATCGGATCCTTACTGTCGGTCTCCACGGGAGTGGCAAGCCTGCGTTTTAAATCCTTCTTGGCATGCCAGTGTTATTGTGACGGCAGTGTTCATCATTACGTCCACGAGCATTGGTTCATCACATACTTCTCTTGTGACTAGTACTGTCTATGTCTTTATTGAGGGCTACCTCCCTTCTTCCGGTCTAGTGGACCGTGGTTTACTCTCAAAGAATCCTATACCGCCTCCTATTTGATATTTTACGGGGTGCCATGATGTAAGAACCCCTGTGAGTGATGCACTACAGCTGGGGGTACAGCAATCAACATTGGTGAGTAGGCGCTCCACAGAAGAGTATGTCTTGACCTGCGAATTTTCCGGTCCTATTTTGCCTCCAGCCATCTCCACTGCTCGACACCATGGGGGTGATGATCATATTAGGTGAATCTACTTGCCAATTCGGTCATTCAACGCGCCACCGTGGCTGCACCCTTGTGCGGATCACTCAGTGTGGACTTTCCGCCCCTCTGATGACCCCACCATTACGCAGGAGCCTGCGATGTCCGGTCGGCGCGAAAGTAGTGGTATGTCTTCCGACTGTTTCGCTGTCGTCGATGGCACCCTAGGAGGTAGTGGCCTATCTTGAAGTGCACTGCTTCTTGGGGACAGCCGACCCAAGCCAGTTGCAAAGGGTTCTACTCCTAGCCTCTTGCAGTAACCACCACGTTCATTCTTGTCGAACTACTCCCTTTTTAAGAGTGGGTCTGCTGGTGTGGGGAAAATGGACAGTATGATGTGGTCCATTCTTTTGCCCAGTGGGTGCAGGGTATTGGGTTTTGTAGCCAATGATTTTAGTCTATCCCTTCCCACATTTTCTCCCGTCCATGTGTCACCGACGCAACTTAATTCTTCAGATTGTTCCGTTTCATTAGATCCTCTGGGTGGCATCGATAAAAGTGAAGATTGTTACTAACGCATGAAATGATTCAACGGATCCAAGCTAGCGCAATCCAAACGAATTGCTGCGTTTTTCTGTATAGTTTCCCAAACTTCCTCAAGCCACGCACGGTCAAAGATTATGTTTCAACAATATCAAAGCACGACTTGATGTGATAGGTCTGGGATGGATTTTTGGTGAATCCATGGTACTCTGAGACTACAAAAGGCTATATCAAAATTGCAAAAGTACCTCAACAATGCGGCTGGGTGACTATACAATCCGAAGATTTCTCTGGCACGGGACACGTGCTGTACAGCAAAAATTGATTGACCAGATACAATTGTTAAATGCCTGCTAATCAACGATAATATTCCCAAACTATCTGCAAGAAGCGAACCGACCAGTAAACACTCCCAGTGGACAGTCAAAAGACAAGCAGTTACTTCGCAGGGCACCCTTACCTTGGGCCAAACAAAATGTCCGGAAAGGTAAAACAACCCCATCTTGTCAGCAGTTCTACACCACAGGGTAGCAAAGCGAACCAGTACTGATGAGTCCCAATCAAAAGAAAGACAAATGATTCGCGTTGAGTCAAAGAAGAGCGAATGGCAAACTAATATTATATCGGTTAGGCTTAGAGGATAATATCTACAGAGAGGACGAAGACAGCCAAATAAACACCAGTACAGTGAATAGGGTGCACAAGAGGGACTTTCGAACCATCTATTCCGTCACAAAGACAGCTTTGGTACTCCACTTTGGGTGGGAACTGGTTGTTTCCTGTACCCGAGGATGATATCTTTGACCACTTGTGGAGCTTTCTCAGTTTCTTCGAGGAGATTTTTGGAGCCCGTGTCCTGTAATGTCTTGGGACATTCCAGGTACATCAGCTTCCCGGTGATGATACCATGTAATTTCCAACATCCTGGATATATTTGCCACATCCATTTGCACACTTGCTTCCCCATGAAGCCCTAATACTGACCTGGGTGCTCTTGTCACAGTTACAGTGGACCCAATTTAGAAGACTGCTGGACTCAGAGTCTTCTTGAGCCTCCAGCGCTGATTTATTGCAAACATCACTGTTGTCGGATATTTGCTCTTTGTTGACGACAGAATGGCTTGCCTTCTGTGAGTTGGGATCAACTACAGCGCGTGTCGGCTCACTCGCTTGTTGACATACGCGTTTTTCCCGTCTTTTGTTTTTTACAGAAGGTATGTCTGGAGGCGTATTACTATCACTCTGACTACACGAGTTTGCTGGTCTTGGCAAGAGCTGTTTCTGATGTGGCAGTAATACGGAGATCCTGGATGGTCTGAACATTGTCGCGCTTATCTTTGCTGCACAGATTACTTTCTGTCCATCTACCGACCTCGTTGTACTAGTTATCACTTGTGACCTGGTTTTCTGCATCACTATAGTTACGTGGTGCAAATATATAAGCAACATAAAGGACGAGGAGGGGGAAGTGTAACTTAGATAACTTCCCCCCAGGAACTTGATACTAGATCTTTCCCGCTTCGTCAGAAACTTTAATCAAGTGCACAGAATGTGTTCGTACAGACCAAGAAAGATGTTTCTTGGTGAATGATCCTCGAAGAGATGTGAAAGCTATAGCAGTCAGACGGTCTAGAATACTACGAATCACCAACTAAAAGTATTCCTTGGTTGAGAAGACGGTTACGTCATTATAAGTAGTGATTCTCGCATTCACTAGATTCGCTAGGTTGCGTTCACTGTTACGGTATGTTTGCAGGCTATGTTTTGATGATAAACGACATATATTGCCCTTAAATTGAAGATGAACAAAACGTGAAGTTATTCGAGGTTTGTCATTTTGCTTCAAATGCTGTGAACACTGGTGTAGATTACGTTCACTATGTTTGAAAACCCACCCTACAAGCCTTGAAAGCATTCGGTTCCGAAAGCTCATAACCAGAAAGCCCACAACTTTAAGATTGTAATGTCAAAACAATTATTTTTTAACTGTTACCTGCATAACATATTAAGCTGCATAAACCATATAAATATGATACGAAACAGTTAAAATAAACACTAGGACAGCATTACAACGCGAAACAGTCAACTCGCCGCTTCACACTTGTCAAAAACGGAATAAATCCCGAACAAACTGGGTAACTTGACAGAAGGACATCTTGGAACTTATAACAGCATTAACAACGGAAAATGTCTTTCTTAACAACTTTTACAAACGAGAAACAAGTAAATGACATGATCCGAAACGGACGAACGTCCATGAAACACCTCAAGGTCAGGCGGATGGTTGGATGTCATTTCAGGCCGCACGTTTTGTGCTAACCAATCAAAGCGAGGGAGGTGATACCTTATCTCACTCGCTGTGATCACAGTTGAGGCCGGTGTTATCGTGCTTGTTGTTGGAGGGCTACAACATTCTGTGTTCTGTAGGCATATTTCATCTGTTTGCATAGATTTAAAATACCGTCTTTCATGGAATCATGTTTCAGACCGTTTATTCATGTGCAAAGTAATCGGCTTCACTTCCACTTCTTAATTGGTAAATAAATACAGCCATGACCGTATTTTTAAATAAAAATTTATAAAAATGAGGCTTATAAAGTAAGGTGACCCAGTCAACATTTTCGCGGGGCGAAACTCGAGGTCATATTTCAGATTGCCATGAAAACAAGGGGTAGAACTCAGAGCCAAACTCGGGATTGTGCAACGTTTCCCCGAGTTTTTAACCCCTGTGCTTTACCCCGATTCGTTCCGCGTTTCCCCGCGAAATGCTGCGTGTTTTTCCGACTCCCCGAGAAATGTCGCGTGTTTTGTCCCGCATTTTGCCCCGTGAAGATCTTGACTGGGTGAGTTAATTGAGGCTGCATATTGTAGCGAAAAGAATATATGATTGCAATTTTCACCTCGAAATATATGCATACAGAACACAATACTTATTTTCACACCAAAACGTGATGTCACCTAGCGATGGCTTTTAGTCTCATCCCCGATAAGCCCTTCATTCTTCCTAGGTTGCAGACCTATTTTCTATCGGATTCGCTCCCATCTGTAGGTTTAATCTTATTTCATATCATTAAAAGTCGGTTGAAATACCAAAGCTCGGTCACGGTCATCAGTGGTTAGACTTTATGAAGCTAGTGTTCAGTTTAGAGGCACTTCGAAGAATACTATTTTGTAAAATCGAAGGCAACTGTTAGGGTTGAACAATTTTTTCCTCCAAACCAATGTTTTCCTCTGTAACTGTCACTAGTCCCAAAGTGACTGCAATGCTCACAAACCCGGTCAGCTGTTTCGCGGGGTGATCAGAATAACTTACTCGCTCCCAAGCCAGAAATTTCATCGCATTTTTCCAAGTTCCATCTCATGTTTTGATTTCGGCTGCGCGCTTTCCCGATTTTCCTCCATGTTTGCCGTTTTGCTTCAAGGTTTTTTGGTTTGTCCCCTCGTTCTCATTCATGTTGCCGTGCGTCTTTTCGACTCGCCTGTACTTTTTCAATACCTTGCCCCACGATTTCTCAGTTTACCTTACCCCTTTTTGTTACTTTGGATCGCGTCTTTCCGATTGGTATCTCTTTCATTTTTGTTACTTACCTTCTTCGTGGTACGTCCCGAGTTTTACAGTTTTAGCGCATAAGTATCAATCATACTTATTATGAAGAATGTCTCAAAGCAGCCCGAGCTTTGCAAAACAATCTTACGCCTGGTATGCCTACGTCTTAGTAAATGCTTACTGCTCTCACTCCTTGTCAGCAACAGCTTTCTGAGTGTCATTATTGACAGTCAGCATTAAAATTAATCATACGTTTCATATCTACGTAGGTGCAGCTAGTTGGTTGTAATGAAATTGCATGCCAGTAAAAATTATGTTACGAAATTACAAAAGCAACGTCTGTTTGAGACGACTCCTTGTCGTCACGCAGGTCATCAATTCGTCAATCAAATCTAATAGGACAACCTCCCTTGACCGCGCTTCTTTGGTTCCCCCGTCTTGAAAGAAAGTACTGCTAAGAGGTTTTCTGAAACTTACTTTCGTATGCAGGCATCTCATTTTCCCACCATCTTTGTCTCTAGAGCTGTAGTGATATTCTCAAGTAGTAATTTCGCTCCAGTTTTGCAGTTTTTAGAATTTTCCATGCCTCTTTTATTGCTTGAAGTGGAAGAAATTAGAAATGGAGAACTAAAATTACATGGTTTATCTGCAAATCAAAAGCCTAACTAAATCGCTAAACCCTCATATTTAGTTTTCAACACCCCCCTTTTTTGGCACTGATGCTGAATAAAGGTTGTACTCTCTATCCTTTAGCTGTTTCGTGAATTAATTCTTGAAAGGAGAACCTTCACAGCTGAATCCTGGCTTTTCAAATCAGATTGTCTGGCCCAAGCGGTTAGTCACAATTTTTTGAACTCTGCTAACTTTCGATGGATATAATAGTACTATCTTCGTATTCGTTATTGCAGTCCCCACTATTCTCCACCGGAATCTGTATCCTAACAAAAGGAACGACTAGTATTTTTAAATCGCAAGTCCGTCAAAACTCGGTAATTAGCCAACTCGCTTCTGACTCATCATCATCGCCAAAATCAACACAGGACCAGGCATTACTGCGTCACGGTCCGAGTTGCCACACCTCACGTCAGTTCATCAAGTAAAAAAGTAGTGAAGTGGAAGATGAAGAAAAGAAAATTCAGTCAAAAGAAATGGAAAGTACGGAAAGAGAGGAAAGAAGAATGACAAAATGGTGAGATTCTGTGATGATTTAAGATGAGGATAATGCATGTATATATCTGCGCCACTGACATCGGTTCTGAGCCATATCATCTAGAGTCTCCAACCACTGGTTCCTCTTGTCCCACCGACCCCAACCACCTAGTCTGCATCGCCCCACATGGCTCAAACCAACAGTCAAAGACTTCATACATTGGTGCCATGTTTTAGTCTGGCCACCTCGGGCCTTTTACCAGCCTGGACCCACCTCAGTCAACATCGTGTGACGAGGCAGACTACGGCTGGGCATACGTAGTACGTGTCCCAACCATCTCAGTCGATGAAGGTTCACAACCTTGTCAACTGATTTACCTCTTCTCCCTAAAACTCTACACCTGACTTCTGCATTACTCACGTGGTGATACCACGGAATACAGCCCATGCTATGAAGGCAATGGTGGTCAAACACCTGAAGCCTTCTTCTCATGTCTTCTACCTTCAATGGCCATGTTTCACAGTCATACAGTAGAACAGAGCGAACTGCTGTGCAGTACACACGACCCTTAATAGACAATTGGATATAACGGCGGCCCCATAGGTGGCGCAAGTTGGCAAAAGCCAATCGAGCCTTTTGTATCCGTGCAGAGATCTCATCGGCAACTAACTCACCAGGGTAGGGCTGATCCTACTTCCCAGGTAAGTGAAGTGGTCAACACACTCAATCACTACACTCTCTATTGTTAGCCATGGCACCGTTGAAGACCAATCCTAGAGGAACGATTTGCATTTGGGTAGTGAAAATCGCATCCCAAACATTCTCAAATCGCCACTCAGTGTTCAGAAGACTCTGAATCTTGTCAGCGTCTTCACCTAACAGGACTATGTCATCTGCATATTCTAGGTCTAGAGAAAATTCTCCTGCGACTAGATCAACATCTGTGTAATCAGGTGACGAGAGGGAGACCTCCATTAGTATATCTATGATAAAATTGAATAAGAATGGAGAGAGTGGGCATTCTTGACGGACACCACTCGACGAGTACAGCTCCTTTAACACCTCACCATAGGCTCTAACATGCCCACAAGTGTTCGAGTAGTGAGCCTTCAATAAGGTGATGTACTTATTCGGCACGCCTTTCAGTGAGGGACATTACCATAAGACTTCTCGATCAGTGGAGTCAAATGCCGCCTTCAGGTTGGCATAGCACACAGGGGTAAAATAGTTTTTACTGGATGACGTTTCAAGCATAAATTATTGCTGATACCCATATTATTATTTGAGACAGAAATTCGTGGCCCACTTATGTTTGTTCACTTAACCTCACCGGGTCAATATGGCAAATCTGCAAAATGAAATTGTAGATATAGAGAGGCAGAAAACATTTGGAAGATAATCGTGATATATTTTCGTACTTCCTGGTATTAGTAAACCTTCATTTACAGGCTGTTCATATGGAGAGAGCGATTTCCACTTTAATTACCTAACAAAGAAACTTGAGTAAAGGCCTGAGTAGCAGTGGATATCAAACTATGCACACTTCACTCGTAAAAAATGAATAATATATCCATGTCTATGGTCGTGGTCTAGCAATTCAATATCTTTTCCAGAGGTTATTCGCAGTTTATCCCATCTCAAAAAGTCACTTATGCATTTGCAATCGTATCTTCGATTAATTGGCTCATTTTTTTTCATATCTAGCTTCAGTATCCAAGTGTCGGATTGAAAAGTTACGAACGTCTCCACCATTTGAGTTAAAATGCAACATGTCCGACAGCTATCACAATGGCAATTTTACCCTGATGTAGCAGTTAATGTTCCTGTGAATTTTTCCTTCACGAGAGCTTTTCTAGGGTACGTTAAATTTGTTATCATTACTATGTCATATGCATATGTGTAGAGATCAATTTAAAGGTTCACGAACGCGCAGTGAAGTGACAAAAAATAACCCAAGTTTTACTAACACCACTAGTTCTAATCGTTTTCCTGAATTCACAGAAGATCAAAAACGAAAGCAAAAAGAGAAATGTAATCCTACTGAGAACGTCTCAGCACCTGTTTGCAAACATATTATTTTTTCCGATTCAGAAGATAGTAAATATGAACTGAAACCTATAAATGCCCCAAAAGCAGCCCTTCAGGAAGTCAGACAAAATGGTATAATCCCGTCAACGAGCGGAAAATCTGCACAATCAAGAAAATATTTGACGTCTGTTGCTTACACTTTGAAAAGTTTACTTAATTCTGATACGACCACTTCAGAAAGTGAATCCTCATCAACCGATTCAACCCATGGATATAAGACTCAAAATCCCCACTTCCCAAAATTCACATCGCTGCTAGAGACAAGAAATCCTGATAGAATCGATTCTCCTTTCGACACTTATACGAATAACAATGTAGCAGTCAGTAGTGATGTTGATGACTTAGACGAAATGCTTGATGAAATGCAACGATTGGGTTTTCCGACCAGTTTTGGTTGCGTATGTTACATATTATTCATTATCACCTAATCAAATTTATTTAGCCTCATAAACAAAAAGAAGTGGATCTGAACCATATGAAGTAAGTGGATTTACCATTATGTATTTGATAATTGTTGTGGAAATAAAAAACCTAAGTGACTGCTTGTTTGCATCAAAAATGTATTTGTAATTGTCCGTAAGGTGAAGGGTGAATTTCTCAGTCTGTAGTGAAATGTTAAGGTACTATGAATCCCAAACTCCCCACCAGTGCGCATCCACGACTCTGCGAGAGATCGAGTCCAGGCCTGTCAAGTTTTGTGACTACATGATTATTTCTCACGTTAGACTGGAATAGTTATTTAGTACTCTAAGGTTTCCAACAGTTCTGCAATTGATATCGATCTGTGATGAACACTACCTTGAAGTCAGTCAATCCCCATGTACCACCAATTTGATGCAATGAAATAATTAGATGCTATAAATTTTCGTTCCTCTTATTACAATTTATTTGTAAACGGGATTATGAAAAGTTACAGACCTACCAAACGTTTATTTATCGTGACTGGTTCAAGGAATACTCCACACTTTTTGTGAAAATGCGGAAAATTTAGTTTTTAAATTGATTGAGTAACCTGTTATCTCCTGAATAACTAAGGTCCGTCGTTAAGTAGAATTATAAGTTGTGTTTTTACCACAATTAATTCTGAGCCATCGTCTTAAACTTGAATTTTTTATTGATGCTTACTAGTTTTCTTTCTACCCTATATAAACTCAAAGAGAACTGAGACTCAGGAACGTGATACATGTTTGTGTATCAAACTGCTCTCCGAATAGCACTCCAGTCGCAAGCTATCTACATGCATTTCTACACAGCCTTATGTATGCTGTAACAAAGATGTGCTCATTATCCAAGTATCAACCTTAAGTGGTTTGAATGAATGACTCACAAAGAAAAAGTCAATTTCGTCGACGACTACTGAGCTACCGTTCCGTGAGGTTAATGGATAAAGATATTATTAAACAGTATTATCAACAATAGATTTGTGTTTTGCGAATAATTTACGAATCACACTATATGTAAGGTTGGTCAAGTTGATCGATCAGATGTATGTCTCTATGTCAGCATCGGGTAAAACACTAATGTTACACTTGTTAGCTGTTTGGTAACCTCTCTTTTTAACTTTGACTATTCGTTTATCATTGAGCACACAATATCTAGTCATCTTGCTTCGGGTTGCATTTTTTGTACACAAGTGAAAATATTATTGCAGCAAAAATGTGATAATAATTCAGTGCCGGTCTATTTTTCTGGTCGAGATTTTGTATGTATCGAAGAGAATCAAAAATAAAGTGCAAGTATACTCAGTGATTTCAATTCTGTAAGTGCATTTCACTCAATCATATTTTATCTCTTCGGTTTATCTGATCGAGTACCATTCTATCAGCACTTATTAAAATTGCTTTCATAACTTATGAAGGTGAAACGTTTTACAAGTAGATCCTAAAACTATCGCGTACGGATAATGTGAAGGAATGTGCATTTCTTCAACTTGTTAGTTTTATGTGACGTTTTCTAGAAAAATAGTATAATTGCAATTTACGTTTGTATACTTGATTTGAAAAGTACTATTTGGACATATATTCGTTTTCTTACATGGTTTAGGGAAATTTCATCGGACTATGATGATGAGGAAATGGATCAATGGCTACTGTTATTTGCTAGCAAAATTGGAAATAATCTCACCCTGAGGAAAAAAGAGGATACTACATACTACAGTTTTTCCGGTCAGTTTTTACTGAGAAATACCTTTGTTAGTATGGCTTTTTATTTTACGTCTTAAACCCTTTTTACGATTATTTTGATTTAACTGTTGTTTATTATATATATATATATATATATATATATATATATATATATATATATATATATATATATATATATATTAGTGCATCGCATTAGTGAATCTCTTGGTTTAGTGGCTATATTGTAAAGTGATTAATAGAATTCTGTCAGCACTCGTGACCCAACAACGTATATCTAATCCAGTCCTACAGAGAGTCAAACTTGACCCGAGTAGTTCAGCAGTACCTTGTATGACTGTGACAATGGATGATGCGTGTTCAAATCGCAGAAGGGATATCATTTCCCTCAAGGTTGCAGATAGATATGCCTTCCTGACGAGTGCCAGCAAACACGACACTTAAGTCCAGGGCTTTCTCGTGACTGGCTCCAACAAACCAGTATTTATATCTCGTAACTACCTAAGTAAATATTTGACTTGAAAATAGTGGTTTTTAAAATTAACCCCATCCCACACCTACTTCTGTCTGGATAACCAGATAATCAGTACCAACATTGGACCTGGCATCATTGCATAACGGCCCAAGTTACCACACATTACATCACCAGGGTAAAAATAACGAAATCAACGTAAAAATGTTGAAAGAGATGCAATCATATGTTGTATTAAATCATGAGAAGATAAGAAGAAGAAGTCCAAATCACCCCATGTACAGCTCAGGACAAAAGTCAGAGACATCATAAACTGGTATCCCTTTTAAGTTCGGCTACTTTTAACTCTTTAATTGAATCCTCTTCAGCTAACAGAGTGTATCAGAGTTTATAGCGACTAAGGATGTTTAGCCCATGCTAACCGCCTGGGTTTATGAAAGTTTACAACCTCATCAACTGGTCTACCTCTTTTATCTAAAACATTGCTTCAAACTCCTATATTTAGTGACATTATAACTCCACAACTCGCGGGTAGCGCTTCGAAAGCAATAATGATGGGACACATAAAGCCTTTCCATATCCTCCATCTTTAATAGTCATATTTTTTCGTCACAGAGGAATCAGCCTGACGAACATAGTATCCAAAATCCCAGGTTCTATAATTCTCCGACGCCTGAGTGGAGCTCGGGAACAGCAAGCCCGAGAAAACCAGGCAGGCTTTAGACCTGGCCGCTGGTGTATTGACCAAATATTCACACTGCGCCAGGTCCTGGAACATAGGCATACTTACAGATGCCCAACAATAGCTGTATTTCTCGACCTGAAGGCGGCACTTGACTCCGTTGATCGAGAAGTCTTATGGTAATGTCCCTCACTGAAAGGCGTGCCGAATAAGTACATCACCTTATTGAAGGCTCACTACTCGAACACTTGTGGGCATGTTAGAGCCTATGGTGAGGTGTTAAAGGAGCTGTACTCGTCGAGTGGTGTCCGTCAAGAATGCCCACTCTCTCCATTCTTATTCAATTTTATCATAGATATACTAATGGAGGTCTCCCTCTCGTCACCTGATTACACAGATGTTGATCTAGTCGCAGGAGAATTTTCTCTAGACCTAGAATATGCAGATGACATAGTCCTGTTAGGTGAAGACGCTGACAAGATTCAGAGTCTTCTGAACACTGAGTGGCGATTTGAGAATGTTTGGGATGCGATTTTCACTACCCAAATGCAAATCGTTCCTCTAGGATTGGTCTTCAACGGTGCCATGGCTAACAATAGAGAGTGTAGTGATTGAGTGTGTTGACCACTTCACTTACCTGGGAAGTAGGATCAGCCCTACCCTGGTGAGTTAGTTGCCGATGAGATCTCTGCACGGATACAAAAGGCTCGATTGGCTTTTGCCAACTTGCGCCACCTATGGGGCCGCCGTTATATCCAATTGTCTATTAAGGGTCGTGTGTACTGCACAGCAGTTCGCTCTGTTCTACTGTATGACTGTGAAACATGGCCATTGAAGGTAGAAGACATGAGAAGAAGGCTTCAGGTGTTTGACCACCATTGCCTTCATAGCATGGGCTGTATTCCGTGGTATCACCACGTGAGTAATGCAGAAGTCAGGTGTAGAGTTTTAGGGAGAAGAGGTAAATCAGTTGACAAGGTTGTGAACCTTCATCGACTGAGATGGTTGGGACACGTACTACGTATGCCCAGCCGTAGTCTGCCTCGTCACACGATGTTGACTGAGGTGGGTCCAGGCTGGTAAAAGGCCCGAGGTGGCCAGACTAAAACATGGCACCAATGTATGAAGTCTTTGACTGTTGGTTTGAGCCATGTGGGGCGATGCAGACTAGGTGGTTGGGGTCGGTGGGACAAGAGGAACCAGTGGTTGGAGACTCTAGATGATATGGCTCAGAACTGATGTCAGTGGCGCAGATGTATGCACACATTATCTTCATCTTAACTACACTATATCGAATCTCACCATTTTGTCACTCTTCTTTCTTCTCGTACTTTCCATTTCGTTTGACTGCATTCTTTTATCTTCATCTTCCACCTCACTACCTTTTTACTTGATGAACTGACGTGAGGTGTGGCAACTCGGACCGTTATGAAGTAATGTCTGGTCCTATGTTGATAATGATTGATTGATTGATTTTGTTCACAGCCATGTCAGGACGGAATGAACTACTGTACAGTACACCACCCTTTGTAGGCAATCACATCTCTGGTGAACACCATAAGCTGGCGAAAGCCAGTCAGGTCTTTTTCATCTGTGCCGAGAAGTCCTCCACCACTAACCCCTCAGACATAATCCGATGTCCCAGGTAAATCAAGTGTTCACTTAGCATAACCACTTGATTGTCCATTGTCAGGCGAAACATCAACACAACCCTGTTCTGGAGTAACAATTTGCATTTGTGCAGGATGCATCCCAAACATACCAAAGTCACTATTCGATGTATCGAAAAAACTCTACACCACCTAACACTATGTCGTCGGTGTGTTGTAAGTCAACTAAAGTCTCCTGTTATAAAATGAGCAGACCCTGCATAAGTACGTTCATTTAAAGTCACATAAGAATGAAAAGAGGAAACTGCTGTGACATGCCACTCGATGTAGACGACTCATTCGATACCTCACTATAGGCTCTAACACGAGCACGAGTGTTCTAGCACAAAAGCCTCAATGGCGCTTACCGGGCACCTCTTTCAATGAGAGATTGTGTAATGTGACTTTTTAGTTGACAGAGTTAAACGGTGCCTTCAGATCAGAAAATTTATATAGTATCGGATATTGTTGCGTGGTCTAAAGAAAAGCAAAGATCTTGTTGACACTCACAAACTTGTTTCAAACCTTGATTTACTCCGATTTTGTTCATGAGCTCCATTTAGGTATCTGATTGTTATAAAACCTGTAATTTGATACACTTTTCGTCAGCTTGTTTTCTCTATGATTCTCATAAGATTTGTCTGCTTTCGCGAGAGTTGAAGCAATTTGTTATAAAATATATTCAGACAGGGTCATAGCTGATTCTGATGAACCAGTCAGTCAGTGTGACTAATAATCCTGCGCTACCAACCTTTGACACCTTTATTGCAGGTACATCGAGATTGACTGCTCTTTATCGTTTTTAGGTTGTTTACGCCTTTCTCCAACTCATCTTAGTTGAGATTTTATTTCAAAGTTCAATCCGGGTTGCAACTGGATGACTTAAAACTGAAGCATAACCGAAATTCAGGTAAACTGTTCCTGAAAGTGCTTTGCATATCGTTCCAGTTGCCTTCCCTGTAAGTAGATCGCAAATCCGTCTTTTTTCCCGCTATATTCCCATTAATCAGCAAGTTTTTTTTACTCCAGTCATCTTTAATAAGCTTAAATGACTATCTACTGTTACTAATTACCGCTGTTTTTTTGTTGGGAATTACGATTGTTTCCTAGAAAGCTTCCTGCATGATAATTAGTAATATTACAATGTTTTAATACCTTGTTCTACTGATTTTACTCTACAATTGAATTTACTCAACTGCATTATTAGTTTGACAAACCGGTGTACTGGTGGTTAGTTTTTAATAACCTTATTGACTGTTTTATGAATATTACAGGAGACGTTAGTGGATTGCCTTAGCAAATACCGAGCTTTTTTCCTTGTGTTCTCCTGTCTTAACTACTGATCTATGTGTCTGGTAATGCAGTCACTTAGAATTACCAATGGTCGTATCACAACAGTCTAGTCTGCATTTCTTTAGGCTTCACTATCTATCACAGACATTGCGTGGACTTATTGTCTTGAGTACTACTGGAACCATATGAGCGGTTGATACTTCCTGGCTGCCCACACCTTGAAAGGCTATTTCTTCTGAAGGTACCTTAATGAAGAAAAGATTCGTTTGACTCCAGAGCTCATGGGACATCTGCTTGAGGCCTGTCACACAGCCTTTTGAGGATTGTTGGTGTGAGGCATGATTGTTCTAACGCCGGGTAGACAGAACCCATGCCACCGGCACCAGAAGACCGTGAGCAGGGAGAAGTGTGCTATTTCTGGGGCCAGCCTTTTCTAAACCGTCTTTCCCACAGAGAAGATAGCGTCAGCGTAGGACTGCCGGCCATCCGAGGGAAACACCTTGCTGCTGTCAAACTCCTTCCAACCAGCGGTACAACTTCACCCTTGAACCCCCATAACGGTGTAGCAATTTACACTGCGTTGGTAACCGCTCTTCGTCTTACCACCATCCAACATACTTTTCTGACATGATAGGACCTCGAGGGAGCAAGCGTTCCAGTTAGTGTAGCTCGTTAGGTCATTGTTATATACAAGCCTGACCACCACGTCAAGGTACCAATTATCAGTCGGGAGACTTATTGTAGGTTGATAATAAGTAGACTTATTGTCGAATTGCATTATAGTTCCTTCCATTCTCCACTGTGCACCAAGCTTTCAGAAATCCATTCACGTGCATCCACTAATTCAGATCAAACGGCTTAGGTCCACCGCCTCTTCCCCAACTTTTTCTGACGATTAGCTTCGGTCTTTACGACTTTCTTCGCAACAAAAGAAAGATGATGCTTAACTTTTGCTGGATGAGTAACATGTTTTAATAACTGCTCATCTGGTTCCTGTTTGAAACCAGCCCTAGTATCTTCATGATAAAACTGCACTCAGGACAGAGTTCCAGTCCCAGTGTCAGTTTATTATGTTCATTTAAGCATAGTCACACTGACGCTCGAACAAAAGCATGATCACTGTCCAATTATCTACTCTAGAGGAGGTAATAGTCTATCGATACCCCACCGATAGATGATAACGATATAGTCTGTCTGAGTCCATGGTTGAGTGGAGATCTGTTGTTTTCACACTAGACAATGTCTATCTTTACGCCTGGAATGCATACTCGCTAGAAATAAGTTGTCCGAGCAGCTTCAGCAGAAAATAACCATTATTGGTTCGTTCGTCTGAGAGTCGAAAAGTATTACGCAAGCACCTTTTTGCTTAGCTCAACCTATTTGTTCATGTGACAAAGTTGCCAGCTGCACCAACCTCACCTGACAGTATGGCTTTTGTAGGAAGTTAAAAAGTTTTCGGTAGAACTCATCTTCCACTTGATCCGAACTGCAGTCTATGGGTTAATTAGCAGCGAAAAAAGGACAGTGGCATATGTCACTATCCTTCTTAGTCTTTACTACGTCGTTCATTAAAGAAGTGTACTTTCGGCTGTGGGACTTAACGCTATGACTACATGTGTAAAAAAACGTAAGCCCACTGAGAATTCTTCAGAAACTCAAGGATTGGAACTCGCAGGTTCACCACATCAAGCGGGTGAGGTTAGGTGAATAAATACCCTTGGGTCCTGTATTAATTCCTCAATAGGACATTATGCATCCATGGTTTGAGATGCCAAAGTTTTGTATAATGAAACTTGTCATCAAATTTGGGTGAGGGTATTGACACTGAAGGCAGATCAAGGAAACTACTACGTGAATTTAAATCATTGTCAAGAACTTCAGAGCTGAAGGAAGTTATTGGTGTAAAACTTTTGACAGTGGGGTGTGGCGAAAGTTCAGAAGACAAGGAAATACACGATTGTTGGTGTTCAGTGACTTGAATGTTTATGGGGATGCGAAGATGGTTAGCACCTTTCTACCACCTTCAATGTGAAAGGTTGTTTTTCTTTCTTCAGGCAGTTGCAAAAGGTGAAGTAGGAAGTATAGTCTAATAAAGTTTTGGGGACCCAGATCCTACATAAGCTTTCTGAGAGTTTCCGACTTAATTCTCTTACATCTCTCACTTAAAGAAAAACGAATATGATAAGTACCTGAATATCTTCAGTCAACCATCACTGTTTCAAGGTATTTGGAGTTTTTTCCCCACTGTAACCTGTTCTGTTTTTTATCCAACTGGAACAGATTATGTTAAGGAATATCAGTTATCAGGTCCGCGGCATTACATCATATCGATTAACTGTGAGCTTGTCAATTATGTCCTGCTAATCTTCGACCAGATCCTTCACCCGAGCCGGGTTTCCTACACAGACATTTATGAGTAGTAACATCAACCTGACGTTAGATATAGACCGTCTATGGATTTTTATACTGACTGGGAAGATCAAATAAAAAACGATAAGAAAGTGGTATACGTAGTGATATGGAAAGCACAATAGGCTATCTTAATTGCGGTTCAGCATTGAACATCAGATAGTTTTCGAAAGAGAAACGATGAACAGAACAGTTGCATTCATAAATATGACATCAAAGACAAGAAAATTAAAAAGGATCAGAAGCATACTAAGCAAAACATTAAAGGTAAATAATCTGGTATTTATAGCCAAACCAAAATAATTTAATTGCCTAGAGGAAGAGGATATTAAAATCAATAGTTCTGAGGGAAAACGTGGTATTGTCTGGAGATACAGGAAATAAAACCCATGGCTGTTAAGTTATAGTAACTACTGAACGGCAAAATCACTTATTAACTAATAAATATTGATGGAACGAAACATGTAAATCAACAAGTTTAGAGACAGCCAATCAAATTAAGAGATGAACAACAAGGGTTAAAATAAGCAGGTTATTTTCACTTGAGTCCCGCAGTTTCCTGGAACTTCACACAATATTTTACTAGAACTTTTAGTATTATTAACGAAGTGATCATATGTATGACCTTATGGATAGAATTGTGCGAAAACTTAAACATTATTTCGGTAAGATTCAGCATAGAAGTTTAACTTCTCTAAAGCTATGTTAAAATAATATCGGATGGAGCAGCACTTTATTTGTTACTCGACTAGGATTAGAATAACGAAAAAATAAATATCTTCTGAAATGGTGAACAAGACTTCTTAAAGAATGCAAAATTACTAATATTAACAACAACCTCGTAACAATGACAACAAAACCTCGTCTCTCCAATATTAACCAAGATTGACTTTAAAGACTACCCTAGCTGCTATCGAAATAGCCAACTAGGTTTCTTTATTCGGGCCAGGAAGGCAGATTTCCATAAAATGAAGAGGTCTGATTGGTTACTTCAGTTGTTAGGGTGACTTCAGGGTCACTTCATAGTCACTCGTTGACCAACAAAATATTGGTTTGAAAATTATATTTACAACTGAATTAAAAAGATATTGTTTTTACTTACTTATTTCTTTTATTCACAGTCAACTCATCGGAAAATGTACATGTTTACCAGGAAATACATTTATATGGCGGTATTGTCTTGATGAACTAGTAATGGAAATGAAGCAATGTTAGTTGACGTATTCAATGAGAATTGATTCGAAGCTTAATTAACTGTTGTTTATTTTTCCTTCGTAATGATTGAAAGTGAAATGAAAACTTGGACCGCGACTGGATTTGAACCAGCAACCACTAGGTTTATTTGTTAGTGTCTTTCTTAACAACACGCTTTGGTGTTATTATTTTTGTTGGTAATAGAATGGAAATCAGGGATTTTTTTATGCCATTCTGCATTTTACTCCTAATCATAATGCCTTGTTTATTGTCTCATTTTCTGTCTTAGATACCGACATGGAACGTGTTGTGAGATACTCTAAATCGTTTCTTAGTTCATCTGAAAAGTTAAGGGGCTTGGTAGATCCATATGTTTGTGCAGCCTCAGTATTTTCAAGAATGTGTTATATATTCGAGATGGTTTGTGTATTTACTAGTAGTGATAACAATGCTACTAACAGGTAGGTATTTTTAAACTGTTTTCTTTTTCAGAATTATCACTGACATATTCGTTGTTTGAAATGGTTTATTCGACCAACTAATAAATTCGAATATCGAGTAGCCTGGTATATTTGGCGTATCGGTTTGATTTGCTACATTGATAAAGAATAGCAATTCAGTATTTTAAAAAAATTCAGGAAAAATATTAGAATATAGCATATATTCAGAACTGAAATGATATGATAGTGACTACTTAAAACAGTTTAAGTATCTAAAGCTTTTTCGATTTCTTTACTCGTACTTCAAGCATTACTCGTTCAAATACGCGATGAAGACACTGTTGACATCTTACCATAAGAGAAGTATAATGGTATCCTAATTCGTTTTAATGGAAGCAAGTCAGTGTCTGGTTCACTGAGTCAGTAATCCGTAATGCAGTTTAGAAATGATAAGACATAGAGAATAAATAGAATTATATAAGTTTTTTATTTCATTATTGTACGATTACCCAGCTCTAGAATTTGTACTGTGCAGTTCCTGCCTAGCTGCTACTTCATTAATGAATGAATTTCTTCTAATTAGCCCGAAATAATAACATAAAATTTGGGAGCTATGCATGCCTTAGTGGATGAACCATACCTGTTGTATAGAAATAATGGTACTACCTAACTGTTCAAACTCTTGTAAGTAAATGGGAGGTTAAAAACCGCACCTAAATAGTTGTATAAATCACTGATTGATTTTTGTGTCCAGCCCTTTGTGTTTATCCTACATCATTACATTGTAATGTACTACTGGTATATTGTGTTCCGCTTATCGATGATCTACCATTATTACTCTTAATTTGTGTCAGTTATTGGTCACCAAGGTCTAAAGAAGTCCTCAAATGCAAGACATACTTCTTCGGTAGTAGTTTACTACTACGATGAATAGAAATTTGAATATTATTCTAGTCATTTAGATTGAAATGGACAAATAGTTTCTGTTTGTATCTACAATTTAGGAGTAAGTACTACTGCTGTAATTAACAAAAATACCTATTGGATTACTTCAAACAATCGACTATTCGTTGTTTGTGTGCGATGAACGATTTCGCTTCTATTTATGGAGTCTCAAAATCGGTTAGCTAACTGCCAGTTCATTCGTTCTTATAATAGTTAGCCTTGTGGTTTACTGAATCCGAGACTATCCGTATTGACTTAGAACTGTGGTTCGTTGGTGTCGACAATTAACTTTAGGCTAGTGGGTCACAGCTTTGAATCGCACTCCACCTACCGAGGTTCAGGCAACCAAGTAGAACCACTTACCCTCAAACAATATGTGTGGTTCACTGCATAGTGTATGAAAATGCACGTGGTTGCTGAGATGGTTCATTTTTTCTACTTGAACGTTTGGTTCACCAAAGATTAGTTATCTGTAGTACCTAAGAAAGAGTGACAGACATCTAAGTGTCATCCAAATCAGTAAATACCGGCAATTTCCTGTAGTAGAATACAAGCCGCATCTTTTGTGTCATACCTGTTTACCCAAACATAATTAATTGGGGTCTATTTATGTAGATAGTAGTACAATTTAAATTCAAATGCTTGACCATGTGATGAAAGTTACTTTAATTTCTCGGTTAGGCTTACATTTCCTAATGAACCAACGAGCGATACTGGTTGGAACAAATGTCCCTTGAGGTCCTGACGTGTCATAAGAATTTGTTCGATACTGCTTAGACAAAAAGCAGTTATCGCTATGCTGTAAATTATTACGCCATAATTGGGACTCGAGGGTGAAGTCGTGCTGCTGGCTGGATGGGGTGTGACAACAGTAAGGTGTTTCCCGTTGTTTACCAGCAGTACCGTGTTGATGTTGCCGTCTGCATACCAAGGAGGTTAGTATAGGTCAATCCCCAAAACAGTATGCTACCGCTGCCCTGCAGTATTTCGGTACCGGTAGTATGAGTTTTTTAGCACCGATTTCAGAATATCAAATTTGAGACTCAAACTTCTGAAAAAGTTGTGCGGGATAGATCTCAACCAGATGTCTTGTGGGCTCTGTGGTCACATAAAACTAAATCACTGTTTTTCAGGCACCTTACAGAAATAACCTCTATGATATGGGCAGCTGGGAAGCAGCAGCAGCTCGCGCACTTCCATTAGCATACGAAACCCAATTAACTATAACTTACCTTCTTCAACTTTGTCTCCTATTTTGCCTTCACTTCTCGAGACCAGCATCGAGTCCCTAACAGTTTCTTCAACTTCCTACCCTGTGACCACTGCTAATAATCTAAACCAGTACTATTCATCGTCCTCTGAAACCATACTACTAATTTAACACGAGCTGTAAACGTCCAAACAATATGCGAAATTAGACACCATACGTTTCTTGCTTAAATTCTATTATCTCGAGCCATAGATGTTTGCTGTTCTGAGACAGTTAAAGGACTCATGTGTAGTTATTCACTTGACCTCATCCGGCCACTGTAGTAAATCTTGAAATTCCACTTTGTGAATTTCCAGAGATTCGGTGGCTATAGATCCAAAAAACTCGGTGAAGGTATATCATTAAGGTGTAAAGCAGAAAGCACACGTCTCAACTGGATACCAATCAACAGCTTTCTGTGTACTTTTCGATTGAATGGATCTATAAGAACTGAAAAGGATTATGGCACTTGGTGGTGCCTATTTATAGTCTATGCCTAGACGCCCACTGACTCCTCTTCGGATGATACAAAAGATGCATTTTGTCAGAAACCATCGATTTCGCTACAAAAAGCAAAACGTTCAGACAATAATAATAGCAGGCAACTTCAATGCTCATGTAGAAAAGCTCAGCCAATCAGAGTTATTTGCAGTATTGCATACCGAAAAACCGTAAACGGTGGTCATCTCTTATAATTTTGTCCTGAGAATCACTTGTTTCTGATCATCACTACCTTTAAACCTTAGAAGAGAAACTGTCCCACTTGATATCTGCTGAGACTAAGCCAATGATGAACATAGATCCATCATATTGCTATAAGCCATCATTGAAGATTGTCTCTCTTCTTAGAGTACCTGCTGAACTCCAACCACACGTTAGTAGGTGCACGTGTATGTTTGTGCCTCACGGGTTTCAGGAAACAGGCAGCAGTAAAGCTTCTGTGTTCGAGAGGAAGGTAAAAAAGTCAAATGTGCCCGGTTGAGGTTGTTGAGATGATAGGAATCAACGGTTGGAGACCGTCGGTTAAATGTCGGAAAATCGGTCATGGTGACGCAGATATATTCACTTTTTGCGATCTTCAAAAGTTTCGAACCTTTTCACCAAACATCACTTACTTATCCTCTGTCTTGCCATACTGTTTTATCTACCTCGACACAACTTTCGTATCCACTCACCCTTTACGTGCTGTCGTAAAGTATGGCAACTGGAAACTCTGTACCAGGTCCTACATCTATTTTTCTGTTTGTGTCATATTCCCAACCCCTAGGCTTCAATGCCAACGTTTAAAACGATGGAATTTTACCTCGCTAAAGATGCGAGGCGGTGCCAGCATTTTTATTACTGAATATTTTTCAGTAGAAAATGAGCTAATTCCTATTGGTCACGCATTTATAAATGACGTCCTGGTACGTCGTACTTATATCAACGGGATGATTTTCTGTTGTTCAAATTTTTAGGGTCTATTCTAATAGGCTTTCTTTTTTCTTGCCATTAGTTATCGCACACTTGGTGAATGGAAACTTAGTCTACCTCGTTGTTGGGATTCGCCAACGTTCAACCTAGAGGGTAATTCAAATTCATCATTTTAATTTCATTTGTGAAATAACACCACTATTATTATTATTTTCCCGTTGGGTTCCTAGTGGAACATAGGGCTTCAGCAGCACGTCTCCATTTCACTCTGTTCTCTGCAGTCTTCAAAACCTGGCGCCACGACTGCCCACAAGCTTTCATTTCTTCCTCACATGATCTCCATGTCACCCTTGTCTCGGTCGCCTAACTCGTCATTTCCCCTTTGGATTCCACTTGAGGGTCTGACCTGGTGCGCCATGTCCCCAATTCGTTTTCTCAGTGTATGCCCAATCCATCTCCGCTTTCTTCTGCATATTTGTTAGGCGATAGGTTTCTTGGTTGGTTCGTCACCAGCCAGAGTTCTTTGTTGCTTATTCTTTCTCGCAATACATATGACCTTCAGTATCAAGTGAGCGTAAGCGGCAGCTGTTGATGAATATCTGTAGTTTGTTGGATATGCTTTTCGTGACGCGCCAAGTTTCTGAACCATATAGTAGCACTGACTTCACCGACATTGGTGTTGAAAATCCGGATCTTGTTCTTTGTGCTGAGTGCGGTAGATCTCCACACTGATTTCAGACCAGTAAAAGCCTGTCTTGCTTTTGCGATCCTGGTTTTGACATCCTCGTCTGTGCCGCTTGTAGTTAAAACGATGATGCCTAGGTAGGTGGAAGAGACTACTTCCTTTAGGTTTCTCCCGTTAATGGTGATTGGTGCTTGTTGTTGTTGATGCTGTTGTTGGTTGGGTATCTTCATCACCGTCTTTCCCACGTTCACTTGAAGTCCCGTCTTCGCTGCCCTGCCTCTTCTGTCAACTTGTCAGTTTTCGCATGTAGATCTTCGAGTTAAACATAAATCATCGAAGAAATCCAAATCTTCTAGGGTCTTTTCATCGGTCCAGCCATTATATGTCCATCTTCTTACAGCTCCTCACTGTTCGCTGCATGAACCAGTCCACCACAATCAAGAAGATTATGGGTGATAGTAGGCAGTCTTGTCTTACTCCTCTCCCCTGTCTTCACTTCAAAGGCATCACTGAGCTTTCCATTGTCGATCACTGAGCATGTGTCATCGTCATATAGTTGTTGAAAGAGGTTGATAATGGTTTGTGGCACTAAAACCGTAATGTTAAAGCAATTTCCAAATTTCTTCTTGGTCGACGAAGTCGAAGGACTTTTTAAAGTCGATGAAGTTGAGGTAGAGAGTTGACTGCCATTCTACGCTCTGTTCTATGATGATGCGTAGTGTAGTGTTGCGACATGATTCGTACATGATTTGTTCTTCTTGAATCCAGCTTGTTTCGGTCGTAATTTTGAGTCCAGAGCACATTTTAGTCTCTCCAGGACGATGTGGCTTAACACTTTGGTTGGGGTGACAGGGACAGGAGCATGATTCCATGTCAGTTCCTGCAAAGGCTTAGGTCTCCCTTGTCTGGAAGTTTCGCAAGGTAGCCCTTCTTCCAATCAATTAGCAGGCACCTTTCACTCCTTCCTTACAAACCTTCTGCAGAAGTGGTGTGAGCATGTCTGCTGATGTCTCTGCGTCTGTGTTCAGTGGTTCTGGAGGAATTCCATCTGGTCCTCCTGCTTTCCCGCATTTCAGCAGTTTTATGGCATTCAGGATTTGTACTTTCGTCGGAGGGCCTGTGTTTACTGGTAGTTCTGCCGTTGCTGGTGGTATTTCCGGACGGGTTGCAGGTGGTGGTCGATTCAAGAGTCTTTTGAAGTGGTCAGCCCACTGTTTCCTTTGCTGCTCCTCTTTGCTAACTAGCTTTCCTTCACTATCTTTCATTGGTTTGATCTGTGTTGATCTCTCCCCTCCCAGATAGTAACCTGGTTATTTGATACAATGTTGTCAGGCCTCTCCTACCAGCAGCCTGTTCTGTTCACTTGTCGTAGAAGTGTCTTTTGTCTTTCCGTGCATTCTTCACTTTTTTGTCCAGTGTAGTGTTTTATAGGTTGTATTCAGTTCCTCCTTTTGTTTTTCATCCCTGCACTGCACTGGTTCATCTACTTCACCATCTTCCTCTCTTCTATCAGCTTCCTAGTGGTATTTTATTTGTCACACTCTAGTGTATGACCACCGTCTTGTAATCAATTTAGCGTTTTCTGTAGCGTACTTTTAAAGTGTTTTGTAAGTAGCTGTAGTAGCCAGTGTTTCAACCGTACTGCACTTAATTCGTGTTTTTACCACAATAGAAAAGTCATATCGTATCATAACTTTGTTATTGTAGTTAAAGAAGTTATGGATTGACCTTACTTTTATTTAGTCATTTTCATTTATTTGTTTAAAGATGATGGTAGTTTATTGATGCACCAGTTATAATTATTTAAAAAATATCTTTTAATATAATCCTTGTGTGTTTAAAAAATCAAAACAAGATATTTCTGATTAAAATATATTCTTACAGTGATTCAATCAGACTATGCGCTCAACTTCTTCCAGGGCATTCGTAACAACTACGGTCTAAGTGCTTTTAATCGTATAACCATTTTACTTTTTAGTGCTTCACCATATTTTGATGAAATTCACTCAATATTAGCTGATATGGGGTACGTTTAAATTAAAATCATGGTAACTAGACTAAGGCACCTACTTAACCTATGAAGTATCCAATTGGTGGTCTGATCCATGTATGGAACTGTCGGCTTCTAAGTTGTGGTCTGCTAGACAACCGAAACTAATAATTATGCATCTCGGAGTCTATCACACTAAATCCAAGTGAATTTATGCCTTATCTTCCTCTGAATCATCATATTGCACTTCATTATTTACTTCGCCTTTTCTTTCTATCTTACTGTTCTCCAAGACTTTTGATTATATTATTTTTATGTGTTTATCTTTCTTGTCGTCACTTTTCACCATGATTAGCTGGTGCAAAAAGCTCACATTTAGAGTGTTATGCGCTAATTTCATATTCTTTGTGTTGATGCTGTCTTTCGTAAAACTACTAGGATTGACCGAATTGTAGATGTCATAAGTATCTTATTTATTGATAGTATATTGCAAAGTTTCCGATGGTATTTTGGATTTGTGCACATGTAATACATCCTTCAGCATGAAAATGTGCTGCTTTTCTCATTGAAATTGTCAAGTGAAAATATTGTGAAGGATTGCCGTGTTAACTGAGAAGTGTGGTTTTAGTTCAAATTTCTGTGACAGTGTTAGTTCCCTCAAGATTGAATATGCATCTTACCGACGAATGCCAGCGGGAATGAAACCTAGTTGAGGTATCTCAAAAGAAGTTATCTCCAACGGAAATTCTTTCAGCGTGGTGGAATTCGTACAACACTGCCAAAACTTATGAGTAAACAACATAAATGTATTGGTTCTTCAATGTGTAATCTGATGGGACGGGAAATATATCATCATTATCAACATAAGACTAGGCATTACTGCACAGTGGTGCAAGTTGCTACACCTCATCTCAGCACATCGAGCAAAAAAGCCTTGGATGAAAGGTAGTGAAATAAAAAGGGACTTATCAAAAACAGAAGAAAGTAGTAAAAAAAAGGAAAGAGGGATAAGAAAATACTGAATTCATGATAATGATAAAGATAGTGCTTGGATGACATCTACGCCACTGAGATCGATTCTGAACCATGTCACCAACCTCTGGTTTCTGTTGTCACGCGTACCCCAACCGCAAAGTCTATATTTCCCCACACAGTTTACACCAACAGTTAAAGAATTCATGGAAATGATGCAAAGTTTTAATTTTTGGGCATATATGACCCATATCCCAGTCACCTCAGTTGACAATGGTTCATGATCTCATCAACTAACTTTCCTCTTCTACCTAAAACTCTGCACCTGACTCATGTATGACTGACGTAATGACACCATGACACATGGTCTGTAATACGAAGGTGACAGTGGTCGAACACTTGAAGCTTACTCATATCTTTCACCATTAATGGAAAATATATAATTTAACTTGTAATGAAAGTGACGACATGCTGACTTCAGTCCTTCATTATGTGAACGTGATACAGATATTTTCCTTCCATTCAACTTTTATAAAGTACGACAAATCAAATTTGTGTTCATACTAGGTTGTTACTATCCCGTTTGATTTAGTAAATCTGTTCAAAAGGCAGGTTTCTGGTTGTACACTGATGTCAACCTATCGATTTTAGAGCAGTTCATTAAAAATAAGAAAAACGACTTTTATGCATAATTAACAGTTAGCTACTTTTACAGTTACAAGTAGAGTCATCTTTAGATTCTACAGGTTTTATATCTCAATTTAATTTCAAAGAATAATTTGTATTGTTTCATAACTGTGATGTAAATACTTTTTTCCTGCAGCACTTCTATACAATTGCCGTTCATTTTGGCGTTTTAAACCACCAGCACCTAAAAAAACAGCCAACTGCAATCAGATGATCTATACTGACTTTGATCCTTTAGTGGAAAAATATTGGGCACAAAGATTTCGTTTATTCTCCTGTTTTGATTCTGGCATTCAAGTTGACCGTGGTAAGTTATAAACCTAAAATTAGTGCTTGGTGTCTTAATGAAGTTATTCAAAATAACCTGTGAACAGATAAGTTACTCGATTAAGTTGATCAGTTTATGTATATGCTTATATATTTCCGTCACTTTTGTAGATTCATTATTCAGTGCCACTCCCGAAGTGATTGCTGCTCACCAGGCCAAACGTATGTTTCGTACTTTTGAGCCTTTTACTCGTCTGAAAGGCACTTGCACTGTTTTGGATATATTCTGTGGTACTGGATCGAACGCTATACAATTGGCTCTACGTGGTTTCCGAGGTAGTTGTGGTGCTTATTTTTTTCTAGATGCTTTCTTGAGATATTCATGATTGTAAAATAGTCTTGTGTACGTGTAGGTGGTTATCGAGTACAGCATAGGAGGTTTATGAAACATGCACTTTTTTGCTGTGAGCTACTAGCGATTTGTCACCAAGTTTTTTTACACCAAAAGTTCAGCCCTCATCAATTGGTAGCTGTAATTCCCTTGAAATTTACCCCAACATTGGGAAAACCAAGTAAAAACATCTTTATGAAGCTTTTTATTGGTAAGGGGGTAGTTTTTATCATTTAAGGCGTATAGTTTTTGAAAGGCTTCAATCATTTATATGTAGTTTAAGGTAATGACTAGAAAGTAAGCGAAAATAATCAAGTAAACAGCACCGAATGTCCTACACCTCACTTATCTCTCTGCAGCCTTAACGAGACATTCGTCATGGACCACTGTACTTTACGGGTAATAATGACACTCTGTTGGTTGTAAAATAGAGGATATTTTTCAAAAATGATGACTGATTAACAGTATTCAGAGTCAACTTGCGAAAAATTATCTTTCATCAATTTTTAAAGTGTTTTCTTTGACCAATAGTTTATAGGTTCCCATTGTAATGTGGTTATCAGCTACCAATGTAAAGGAAAACTATGCGTAGTTGTATCTCCTAGGTAATGAGCTACAGTTGTTATGTGAGGGTTGACCATACTGCCTGGCTTCTCAAACGTCGATTAATGGGTGAGTGTTTCAGCACATAGCCCACCGGTTGAAAGTCAACTCCTGAAACCAGTGAGTCATAGCTCAGTAGTGTTAGTGTAACAATTTCGTCATAATTATAGTAGACGATGTTTTTGTGTAATAATCGAATCAATTACTTATCGTGTTTTTTCACTATTTTGTAGTGGTTGCAATCGAATCTGATCCTGTTCGTATCTCAATGGCCTCACACAATGCAGAAATATATGGCGTTCGCCATCTCATTGAATTTGTCTGTGAAGATTATTTCACCTGGGCATGGAAAAAGATTCACCTAAGGAGTTCTCAGCGTGATTGTTTATATTCAGTAGAATATATGGCTGCTTTCATGTCACCACCGTGGGGTGGACCTAGTTATTTAGAAAATGAAAGTTACGATGTATCTAGCATCAAATTTAAAAATTCCAATGCAGACTTATGGTGTGCTTTATATTTAGCCCTAGTGTTGACCAATGGAAATGTTGCCCTATTCTTACCTCGCAATACAAACATGGCAAATTTTATAGAGATTTCAATAAAGTGTATAAAAACGATTAAAACAGATTTATTACATATTGAATTTGAACTAGATTTGATCAATTTCAAAAGCAAAGCATTGACTGTCTATTTTGGTGTCTTGGCAACTGGCACTAAACGAACAGTTGATACTATTAAATCAGATCATTCAGATGAGTCAAACCGTTCCGATTAAATTGTGATGTTTGCACTTTATTTTTGTAAATAACTTTTTGTAATTCAAGAGATTTTTCTTCCTCAGATGACTTCTATTTGAGATTTTCTTTCACAGGTTTTGGAAATCTTTAAGTCAACAGTATTCGAATCACAATGGTCAAATCCATGAATATAATCTATAGTTTTACGGTCGATTTGCAGTGTAGGTTCGAATAATACTTCAGAGCAAATTAAGTTAGCTTACCCTAGCATCTTTCCATGACGTTGCTCCAAAATATATTTAGTGCTGTTTTCATCATAGCTATAAAAGTATTGGACATTTTCACCTTCAAAATTCATTGTTCCAGACATACAAAAGGGACAGATATTAGAGCCTTCGCTGTAAGGTGTACATCGTGGTAAGTGGCGTTCATTAATTTGTACGACTCTACCTTTTCTTAACGAAGCTTAAGCGTTTGTACTTTACCCACATAACTACCTAGACAGGTGAATCTCGGAACTATTTTCCTTGTTTAGTAAGATCATATCAGTTTTTCTACCCACTTCATAGGAGTACTTTACATTTGTGCGTGATTCATATAACCTACTATGTTTAAAAGTAGTGTCTACCTACTTGTGGAGCGTCTTCGCATAAGCTGAATGTTATCGTAAAGTAACATTATTTTATCAGAATATTTCGGAACCTCGCCCAGTTAACTAGTTACTAGCCGATCCTTAGCCCGGATAAAGAGGGAAGGTTGAGCATAGAGCTAGCAACCCTACCCTGAAAACCAGTTCAATCGCTAAAGAAACTTCAAAGCACAAAGGAAATAAAAATAAACTTATTCCTCGCTGGAATCGGAGAGGCGAAATGACGCCGGCTGTTGGAAGCCTTCGGGAAGCCAATTGGCCGATGTGTCTTCTCTCGATGAAAGTAAAAGTAAGCATGAGGACATGGAATGTCCGCACGATGTTCGAAGCTAGCAAGGTTGCTCAGATTGCCAAAGAGATAAGAAGGTATAGCATAGAAGTGCTAGGAATGTGCAAAAGCAGGTGGAATGGAAGTGAACTCTCTCAAGTGGAGAGGAATCAATAATCTACTCCGACATTGTCACCCAGACAACACGACACGCACGAGCACAGCACACTGAGTTTTCGAGTGGCTATCATGATGTCCCCAACAGCATCGAAGGCTCTCTGTCATGCAGTGGGAACCAATCTCCTCCTGGAGAATAAGGATTATAACAGCAAGATTCGAATGAAAAGAAAGCAAAGTTACAATCATACAATGCTACGCACCTACAAATAATGCGGATCAAGAAGGAGGAATTCTACAGACAACTGCAATCAGTACTAGATAAGGCCCCACACAAGATGGCGACATCAGAATTGATTCTGATGGGTGGGGTGACATGAATAGCAAACTGGGAGCAGACAACACAGGAAGAGAACCAATCATGGGTCGAAAAGCACTCGGTGAAATCAATGAGAACGGAGAACTGTTTGTAGATTTCTGCACATTCAACGATTTGGTGATCGGAGGATATTCACAAAGCGACATAGATTTCACCAGGACACTAAAAATTAGATCGACTTCATCTCAATCTCAAGAAAGTGGTGATGGAGACGCAGCCTACTGGACACAAGATGAAGAAAAGGAGCAGATGTAGGTTCAGACCACTCACTGTCTAGTGCAACGAACCTATCTTCAAAATCAAGTTGAAAGCCTTTAATTCAAAGAAGTTGGTGATAGACCACAGTTGAAGTTCAACACCCAGAAACTGGAATGAAGGACGAAACTACAAAGGAAATCTTCACGTCAGCTATCAGGAAAAGATGGGAGACATTAAGCAACATTCGTGAAGGAATCTACGTGGAAGAACAATGGAACTCTTTGAAAGAGATGTGGAAAGAAATCTGCATAACTGTGTTAGGAAGGGAAAAGGATGAGACAAGGAATGGATCTCGACGGACACATGGAAGGTGATAGAGGAGAGGAAGATGGTGAAGCAGAAAATGAACCTGTACAGTGCAGGAATCAACAACGAAAAGAGGAACTGAACACAACCTACAGAACACTACACTGGATAAAGAAGTGGAGTGCGCGGAAGAACAAAAGACACTTATACGACACACATGCAAGTGAATCAGAACAGGCTGGAGGCTGCAGCTAGGAGAGACTTGACAACATTATGTCAGATAACCAGGCTGCTATCTGGGAGAGAAGAGACCAATGCGGATGAAACAATAAAAGATAGTGACGGAAACATAATTAGCAGAGCTGACCACTTCAAAAAACTCTTGAATCGACCACCACCTGCAACTCGTTCAGAAATACCACTAGCAGCCCAGCGACAGAACTGTGAACTTAAACCCTCCGACAAAAGCAGAAGTGAAGTCCTGAACGCCATAAAGTTACTGGAATCCAGGAAAGCAGCAGGACTAGATGAAATTCCACCAGAAGCACTAAAAGCAGAGCCATCGGCGGACATGCTCACACCACTATTGCAGAAGGTTTGAAAGTAAAGGTACCTGCTGATTGATTGGAAGGAGGGCTACCTTGCGAAACTTCCAAACAAGGGAGACCTAAGCCTTTGCAGGAACTGACATGGAATCATGCTCCTGTCCCTGTCACCCCAACCAAAGTGTTAAGCCACATCATCCTGGAGAGACTAAAATGTGCTCTGGACTCAAAATTACGACCGGAACAAGCTGGATTCAGGAAGAACAAATCATGTACGAATCATGTTGCAACACTACACTACGCATCATCATAGAACAGAGGGTAGAATGGCAGTCAACTCTCTACCTCAACTTCATCGACTTTAAAAAGTCCTTCGACTTCGTCGACCAAGAAGAAATTTGGAAATTGCTTTAACATTACGGTTTTAGTGCCACAAACCATTATCAACCTCTTTCAACAACTATATGACGATGACACATGCTCAGTGATCGACAATGGAAAGCTCAGTGATGCCTTTGAAGTGAAGACAGGGGAGAGGAGTAAGACAAGGCTGCCTACTATCACCCATAATCTTCTTGATTGTGGTGGACTGGTTCATGCAGCGAACAGTGAGGAGCTGTAAGAAGATGGACATATAATGGCTGGACCGATGGGAAGACCCTATAAGATTTGGATTTCTCCGATGATGATTTATGTCGAATGTCTTGTTGCACGAACTCGAAGATCTGCAGGGGGAAACTAACAAGTTGACAGAATAGGCCGCGAAGACGGGACTTCAAGTGAACGTAGAGAAGACGGAGATGATGAAGATACCCTATCAACAAAAACAACAAGCATCAATCACCATTAACGGGAGAAAACTAAAGGAGGTTGGTTCTTTCATCTACCTGCCTAGGCAGCATCATTGCAACCACAGACGGCACAGGCACAGATGAGGATTTCAAAGCCAGCCAAGGTCGGAGAGACAGCAAGACAAGCCTTCCAGCATTAACCTGAAGCAATCAGTGTGATCTACTGCACTCCACTCAGCATAATGTATGAGCAAGATCCCGATTTTCAACATTAATATCACTCAAGTCAGTCAGTGCTTCTATGTGATGGTTGAGAGATTTGGCGCGTCACAAAAGCATTTCCAACAAACTACAGACATTCACCATCAATAGCTGCCACCTACGCTCACTCGATACTGACACTGAAGATCAGATAGATGGATGGCCAGAGCAATGAGAATAAGCACGAAGGAAGTCAGTGTGGCCTGGCAACTAACCAACGAAGCAAGAAGCCATCGTCCAACAAATATGCAGAAGAGGAAGGTGGAGATGGGTTGGGCATAGACTAAGAAGACGATTTAGGGACATCACTCGTCTGGCCAGGCTGTCGAGTGGAACCCAAAGGGGCAAGGACGAGTTGGGCGTCCGAGGCGAGGGTGACATGTAGTAGATCATGTGGGGAAGAAATGAAAGCTTGTGGACAGTCGTGGAGCCAGGTTGGAAAGACTGTCAAGAAGAGAGTGGAATGACGACTGAAGGGCCACTGAAGCCGTATGTTCCACTAGGAATCAAAAGGATTATTCATAAAAAATAATAATTTCGAAAGTTCATTTAATCATAGGAAAAGAAAGACGACTGCAACGAAGGATAGTCTTGTTTTCGATGGAATCATTCTCTCAGCTGTATACTGGGGAATATATTATAGCCGGAAAGGTAGAACATTCTGGAGTAATTTCCAGTCAAAGTAAATTTCATAACGAAAGAAAGTTACGTAATTGTGTGTAAGTGGTTGAAATATGGAAATAAATAATTGATTACGAAATATAGTTGGATCACAAGGGGATTATCTAGAGTGACCGATCTTCTATGATAGATATAGCCCCAGTCGCCTTCTCTCTTTTCTGAATATTTAAAGTTGAAAATTCTTTGCTATACAAAATGTCTGCTTTATTTCATGCTCTTTTCTAAAGTCTGTGTTAAATTTTTGTCTTAAATTAGCCACCAACCTCAAGAAGCTGGTAAGAGTTTGTGATGGAAGAAAGTGCCTAAGTTACGCACTAAAATATTCTCAATCCTTGCTATTTCAGTTCAACCATTCATTGTATCTCCCAGACTTCAAGATATCATCGTACTGACTACCCACTAGAATCTAATTAAAATGATGTGGGAGAGTCAATAGAACGTGAGTTGAATAGATGGTATAGAGTACTGTATAAAAAGATGTTCGACATTAACCGTCCGACGCTGAGCAACGTTGTGAAAGTTTAGATCTACAAATATTGGTTTTGACTATCTTACAAAATCTATCCAGAAAGCATACGTTTCTAATATGCTAAATAGATGAACACTCATTGAATTCAGGTTACTTTTGGTTTAATCATTCAAATGCTTTTTTAATCATTTCGGTAATTCAAGTAGAAAAAGTCGAAATCAAAAGTGACTCAACACTTATAATACGTATCTTGGAAACCTTGGAAAGTCTAGTTTTGCTTCCTTATCTACTGAATAAGTTTTTTCCTTCAAGTTCAATTTCAATTGACAGTGATCCTGTCACATTCAAAGAATTTTTTGAAGGTGCTAATAACCAGAAACCTGTGGTTTTTCTGTGATTTACTCTCAACACTTATTTTCTGTTTTGTAACGAATACCTCATGAAAAATCAAAGCCAATGATAAATTGACAAAAATCAGTTGCGATTTTCACATTTGAAAAACTTCAATAAATGATACTGGGCTTAGTAAGAATTATCACAATGGAATACACTACATCAAAACGAATTTCCTTCTTTTGCTAGTCACTGGATTTACACCAATTCTGTGTTCATCCTTAAGTGCTAGTCAAGTTCTATCGGCAATTTTGCAATATAGTCAACTACCTAGTAGACTCAACATCGCGGTGAAACATTGAGTAGTGTTTTGTGGTTGAAGGCGATTAGTAGGAAGCCGTTGATCTAAGTTTTGTGCAATTATGAGTCCCCTAGCTTGATGACAGCATTGCGGTCTGATCGATGGTTACTCTTCAGTGACCAACCAATTTATATCAGCCAGTCCTACAGGTCTATCCTGACCTGAGTAGCTTTGAAAGGTCTATAGATGCAAATATGGGTGACATGGATTCGAATCTGTGGTGGGATGGCATTTCACTCAAGGTTCCTGACAGTTCTAACTTATCACTGATGTTTCGACAAAAGCTTTTTACCGATTAGCTGACAAAAAACCTTTAAAATGTTTAGGAAATGTATGCTTGTAAACCAGATGCGGCATTCACACTATCAAGTATTCTTTTACATGTTGCCCTACTTATAATACGATCTTAGACAAAAATGAAATTATCCTTCAGTGATATAAATCAAGTACTATTCAGTAACGGTAAGACGTGCTTGGTGTTCAATAGCGTTTAAATCGGACATCATAGGATCTTGGAAATAGTAAAAAAATGATAGCAAGATTCCTTGCTTCATGTCGAACACTGGTGGATACAAGTTTTTCTCTTCGTGGTTCCACCATTGTACTCCACATGCATTTTACGTCTACCAGCCTCCAATGTTCATGGCTTGAACACTAATTTAACAGATTTTCGTGATTTTTAGCTTGACTCCTGTTCTGAGTATGTTCACGTAGCTTAAGACTTATTGAAAATCAAAAATGGCCTTGAAGTATAAAAAAACATATTTTTATTGTTGTATTCAAGCTTTTCAGACTGAAATATAGAAAATAAGAATTTAAAATCAACAACAGCTTATATTTCATCAGATGGGAAATTCTTATTTCACTATATTACTACAATTCACTACCCTATTGCTCTTCGTCGATTGCAAACTTCAATCCCTATTTCAGCACAATTGAAGTATCCTATGTATTCATTAGTTCTATGAGTTTGGTTGATGAACATTTCAGCGATGGAGAAACCTTTTATAGAAATTAAATCATTTTGTTATCCTGCTAAATTTCTCCTCTTGGTCAGTTTTAATGCTGAATTTCTCTTTTGTATTTGAGAATATGGTAATTGGGATCGATATACGGTTCCGTGAAGCACTTTGTTATTCGGTTTATCTATACGTTTAAAAATGCGATACGTGTCTGATAAGCACATCTCTGGTGTAATTCTTTTCTGAGCAAACACCATTGATTGTGAGTGGGTCTGCAATAGCAAATCACTTACGTTCAAGAAAATAGATAGCTTATCTTGAAGGGTGCTGCCGTTACCAAAATCATTCGACTCTTGAAAACATTTCATCACAGAATTATTCTTACAAGATGGATTCAGTAAAATATTATTTTTTAAATGCTTTGAATTAGACCCGGAAATATTTTTCGTTAATTTTCTCCAAAACACGTCCTCGTCTTCAGTACCTTTTCGATCCCAGTTATGTTCATTATCGATTATTCTTTTGCGAAAATCCATATGTTTTCATCACAGATACAATGAACGCAGTAATCAGTCTTTATGAAGCATAAAAAACTGTTAAAAAGACATTACATTTTCCGCGATTGATCTATTATGAACGTTAAATGAAACGCATTTTAACAGATGTGGTCAAAGAAACGACTATTTATGCTGGTTTAGTTCATGGCATGTCTAAAATACAGAGAGACATATACATGCATATTTTTTATATGAATATCATCTATTTGGGCATCAAAACTACTGAAACCACTCTGTTAAATTATGTCCCAATTTCACATGAATACAATATATTAGATCCCTTTGAATTCACCACACAGTGAACAGAAAGTTTTATTTGATAACTAACCATAGGCAAGAACCAAATCAGAGGCATGACTGTCATTCACTTTACTATCTACAAGCTTCCCAGACGTAATAATACCTTTAAATTTGACATAAGGCTGAAAATAATCCGTAAAATATTTGGAAAAAGAACTCAAAACCCAACAGTTTTCACATGTCAGACAGACAAAATCAACGTACAACCTCGCACAGAAGTCCATCAGCTCAAGTTGCCACAATTCGTAGTGGCACACAAACAACAAGAGGGTAGAGAAGGTGGTGTCAGCGTAGGAAATAACATATGAGAATCAACAATCTGAAGACGAAGTTTAGTGAGAATATTCAAGCTCTGGAAGATGTCAAGGAATATATATACATCTGCGCCATTGTGACTGATTTTCAACCATGTCACCAAAAGTTCTCAACCACTGATTCCCATCATCTCGAGGATCCCAACCAGACAGTCTACATCTCCTCATACGTCTCAGATCAACAATCAAAGACTTCGACTGGTGTCACGTCGTGGTCTAGTCATCCTGAACTCTCTTCCAACCTATCATAGCATGGCACGTTAAGGTAGGCAGTGACTCGACATGCGCAGTACATGTCCAAGCCATTTCACCCAATGAAGGTTCACAGCCTCATCAATTGACTTGTCGGTCTTGCCTAGTTCCCTTCACCTGACTGACCTCAACATTACTGACACACTGACTCCATCAAAGGCGAGCCATGCTACGAAAATATCTATGATCAAAGCCCAGAAATCTCTTCGTGTCTTCTACTTTTAACGACCATATCTCACAGTCGTACAACGGGACAGAATGGTTTGCTGTGCGGTCTAATCGTCTTTTAATAGGTAGTTGTATATTCGCCAGTCGGCGCCATAGAAAACACAAATTAGTAAATACCAAACGAGCCACCTGCATCCGAGCTGAAACTTCGTCAGCAACCAGCCCGTTCCGGCTGATTCAATTCCCCAAATAAGTGAAGTGATCGACACATCCCACCACTTCACGCCCAAGCTAGGGATCGGGAGTAGTTGCAGGCCAACCCTGGGGCAACATCTTACGTTCCACAGGAACGAGAAGTATGCCAAATATACTCAAATTCCTGCTCAACGTGTTCGCAAGATCATGCATTGTGTCAGCATCTTCATCAAGCAGAAGAACATCGTCTGTATAGTCCAAGTCAACCAGATGACCTTTAGGGAGTAGGTCAATCCCAGTGAAGTCAGACATGCCTAAGGTTTTGTCCATTAATACATTTGTAACGAATTTAAATACAAACTATGACAGCAGGCATCCCTGGTGGACACCACTCTCCATAAACTATCACACGGGTGCGTGAGTTCGAGTAGAGAGCTTTGACTAGAACTTCATAGTCAGACACTGACGCATTACGTCTCGGTCGACTTAGTCAAACGCCACCTTCAGGTCGGGAAATACTGAAGTTATCCGCCGCCGGTATGCCTGCATTCCAGAAGGGTAAATATTCCGACTGGTGAACTTTCGTCCACGTCTGACACCTGCATGCTCTTCTCGAGTTTGCTGCCTTTGATTTCTAGTTAGGTGTGGGATAGTGATGGATCCCAGGATCTGGAAGACGTTGCTTGTCAAATCGATTCCCCAACGGTTGTTACAAGAAGACTTCTTTCCTATCGCACAGACTGAAATCTACTTCCCATTCAGGTTGAGGCTAGGTGTTTGGCAACTGAAGCGTTGCTGAGGGCCAGTTGAACTATGCTTCAAAGTGTTCTTCCCAACGTTATAGCTAACTGCCTTATGAGGTTATCAGCTTCCTATCCTTTTTGGTGGTGGTTTCATTCACCATCGCCGTCTTCTTGCCGGTATCCCTAATAAGCTCAAATAATCGTCAAGTTTTACACAACGCTGATGCCTTCTTCATCTCTCTCTCTCCTTCGCCAGCCTCCACTGCTCGCGATCATTGAGAAGATTCTTGATCAATTTACTTATAAGCTGCTCTCGCTCTTCATTGTACTTGCCGCCAGCTGGATTCAGTCTCTTCACATCAATCAGCTCGGATGACGGTGTGAAAATCCACTCGATTTGTTAACCTTCGGGTTTAGGTTCCCAACTGTACATCAGAATTAATATCACGCCAGGTTTTCTCAGGATAAACATTGCTGTCGTTTTCAGACAAATGCCAAGCTACCTCTTCCTTAAATGCGGATTTGACGTTCTCATCTTCCAATCGACCATAGACAAGCTTTACTGTCACTTGTGACCAGTAAGGTTCAACAATACATGAGCCTGTACTAACGCGTGATAGGAATCCAAACTAGTACTCCATAAAGAACGACAATCCTTCAATGATGTGCTGATAGCAATATGATCTAACTGTGTCCAATGTTAGTTTGATGTCGGCGGACGCCATGTGAAATGGTGTCTCTCCTTATTCCTCAAGTTAGTGCTGGTAAGAAACAAGTGGTTGTTGGAACAAAATTGCATCAGACGATCACTGTTGTCAGTTCATTGACATGAAATTCCGTAAATATATGCAATATGCTTCTCTGATTGGTTCAGCTTTCCTGCTTGAGCGTTAAAGTCACTTCCCATTATATCTGCATGTGAACGTTTTGCTTTCTGTAGCAGAGTCAAAGATCTTATAGAATTTATCCTTTGCATCATCTGGATTGCTGTTGGTAGGTACATGGGCGGAGATTACGAATAGGCATTGCCTAGACTCACAATCCTTACAGATCCATTCAGTTAAATAGCACATAGATGGCTGTTGGTCAGTATCCAGTCGAGAAACGCACTTTTTGATTTACAACTCAATACTATGCTTACACCAGCGAGTCCACGAAAGATAGCCATTGGGTCTACGGATACTCGCAGGTGAATTTTGAAGACTCACTAATATGGCCACGTAAGATTAATTTAATAACTACACTCAGGTGGTGCTTCCGTGTCCCGGAGATACAGCACACATCCATGGCTAGGAATTCCAGAGTTTTGGCAAGTGATGCTTACTGTCTGATTTGGCACACAGTTCGGATGTTGAAAGCTGGTAGCAATAGTACTTCGTCCTCAAACCCATATCATAGAGTAGTAATTTACACTAAAGCGGTAACCGCTGTTCGTTTTACATACCTTTCTGACATGGTGGGACCTCGAGGGAACAAGCGTTCCACCAGTATAGCTCGTTGGGTCATTGTGATATGCAGCCCCGAACGACAAGTCAAGGTAACAGCAATCGTTCGGGTTTCGCACGATTGGAAGGTGAAGACACATATCATCGGTAAGCAGATTGTGAAATCTGGGTGAAGTATATCGCAAAGAACTGTTAGTTCTTTTCTTCATTTTTGTTTTCTCATTCAGTATCACCCTCGTGTGTTTTTTGAATACATCTTTATAAACTTAAAGACCAAAAATTGACCTGATAGGATTGAATAAGTTAGGCACTGGGTAAATGGATTATAAATGAAATATATTTGTAAAACCCTAATGAAGAAGCGATTTTCCCGAAGTCCCAAATCGTCAGAAATTTATTTTTCTACCTCTAGGATTTTACAAAACATATTTCATTCACAATACAGCCCTATACTAGTTACTATTAATCAGTAGTATAGTTTATCGTCTTTCATAATGCTGTATCATTCTTCACTTAGTATGCTCAATTCGGTTAAATTCGTAGTTTGTCCACCATTTTCACATTCCAATAGGTTGGCATCTCTCCCGTTCTTTGACTCCATATAGTCGTTCCCCTAATACGTTAGCTTCCATCGAGCAGTTGCCTATTTTAAACTTTGAACCGTACACATTACTCGAGTTTTTGTTCAATAATCAACTGGTAGTTTTACATGAGAATTTCTGGAAATTCACAAGCATAAATATAAATCTTATTCAGCGAGGTGATATATGAGCAGGTATCTGAATGTGATATCAGTCTTAATCCTGAGGTATTCTGGCCTGACATTAAGCATGTTGTCGAAACAGTGGTAAACACATAAACATTCAGGCTGTAATTGTTACGGATGGTAACACATTTAATAACCTAGATCCAAAAGTTAGCAAAAGTCACTGAACTTCCACACAGTCATCGGAAATGATCCCAGCTGTCTCTGACCCCAGTGAAGACCGAATTCAAATTCAGCGTAAATTAACCAGGAATCTTTCTAATGATCACGAGCAGTGGTAGGTGGCAGAAGCAAAAGATGAAGGAGGTATTACTTAGAAATGCTTTAAACTTGTACACGATATCGGAGACAAGCAAGCTTTGTTTGGTGAGACCAGCATTGAAGAAAATTGTACCTTGGTAAGTTCTTAGAACAGATCGATTAAACATTATGTGGAACAACTTTGAAGTACAGTTCAACTCACCGCAGCAATACCTCAGTTCCCCATCATCCAGTCCGAAACTGAATGGGAGTTAAGTGTTAGTCCTCAAACTGTCCTCGAAGTTGAGCGGGCTACTTCCAGCCTAAAAGGGATTGACCTACTCCCTAAAGGTCATCTGGTTGACTTGGACTATACAGACGATGTTCTTCTGCTTGATGAAGATGCTGACACAATGCATGATCTTGCGAACACGTTGAGCAGGAATTTGAGTATATTTGGCATACTTCTCGTTCCTGTGGAACGTAAGATGTTGCCCCAGGGTTGGCCTGCAACTACTCCCGATCCCTAGCTTGGGCGTGAAGTGGTGGGATGTGT